TAACTACTGAGAAATTATTATTGACTAAATTAACTTTATTTGATATACAAATACAAGCCTCAATAATCTGAGGAACAATAAGTCCAGGTTTTAGGGAAGAATTCATGTTTTTGATAGAGTATTCACTAAAAAGACAAAAAATTACATTTGAAGATTAATTTTTCCATGTGTAATAAGTTCAGAAGTGCCAGCACCTTCTCCTAAAATAAATTTATTTTCAGAAACTTTAACCAAACTTGATTTTCTACACCTATGAAGTGTAAATCAATTTTAATCTGAAATGGGAACTGTGGAAACTAAAGGAGGCCTCTAGAGCAATAGTTCAGCAGATACTAAGGGAAATACTGATCAACTTTTATTTAAAATTTTTACTTCACCAACCTCAAAGAAAAGAATTTGGGGCCAATTTGAGAAGACCACACATAATAAATATATAGTTATAAAACTGCAGGGCATTCCTTCATCATTTTAAGGCACAGTCTGTTTTATCCCAAACAACTATAAGTTCAAGGTCACAGTGAAAATATGCATTCAATTTTGGTCTGGTTTCTCATGGGTATGTTGCTACATTTATAGTTAGTCATAAGTTTAAGAAATGGTAATACAATCACTTCAAAATAATATATCTAAGTCATTTTTACAGTTTTAAAAATGTAAATACACAACACAATTTCCTAATTTATATACACTAAAAATTGGATTTTTCCGCTTCCATAGTGGAGGCAGAGAAGATTATTTCTACCAATATTCCAACAAATACATTATCTGCTCATGTAGAAAGCATAGTTATGTTAAATACAGGCATCTCCTACTTAGGATAAAATTATTCAACAAAAAGGACAAACTCATTCCAAAAATAATGTTCACTGAATTTTAAGGTCTTGTATATCATCTTTTTATTAATAGCATCCATGTCCCTACCAGATAGTTGGATAAACTGTAACTAAATCAAGGCCAAACATTTTAATGTTTGCTTTTCTCTTCTGTCTCTTTACTTCCAAGGCTACTTATGCAAACTACGTCAACATGACTGGGCAGAGAAACAGTTAAGTGACATTAAATTATGAGAAAAACCATAATATGAGGGACTGAAATTCCCTCTGAAAATTTCTGTAGGAGAGAAATTAAAGAATGTCAACCATATAAACACAACAGTTTCTGAATCTATCATATTTCTGCTTTCTCTCATGAGTACACTACCACATCAATGTTAACATTTTAGCATTAACATCTTGTTCTTATATTTTCCTTTAAGATGCATTTTACAATGTTTATTTCACTGTATTATGTTTAGTTCTAGTGGATAATTCTCGCCTATGAAACATGTGACTGTATAGAGGGACTGAATGGAAACACATAGAAAACAATAGAAATTCCACAATAAACTTTCTATTACATAAATGGGAGACACCTGTACTAAAAATGATCTGGGCAACGGAATTTAAAGTTTTACAGAATGAATCTGAAGCAAGATTACCTAAATGATTTCTTCAACTAATTACTGAAAGATCATTATTGGGTAAACTAACTTTCTCTCAATAAAACCAGAAAACACTATTCCAGAAATCAGAAAAAATATAATACACTATGCTCTAAGCTTTACATATTTTGAAAGAAAAATTAGGATATGGAATATAAGTTTTGATGATGTGTATTTAATATAAGTCCTAGAAGAAAAATACTGAAAAGATTATTTTTGCTTTAATCCCAATATCGTAAGAAAAGTTCATTGGCACAAATATCTGGAGGTATTTTACAGTTTCATTTAGCTTTGGTGGCAAAGTGTGTTTTTGCTAACCATATGAAAACAGTTCTATTTTCCAATGTAGAGTTTTATGCTAAAAAAATTCAAACACATCTTTTTTTTCCTAAAAAAGGGATGTAAAAAGTCCAATATGAAACAAAACAAGTGCAACATGAAATACAAAATATGCCTAACACTTAGGCTTTTGAACAGTTAATAGTTCTATGCTTTGTCTATAAATTTTTACTAGTAACATTTCTACTATATAAATACTAAAAACCAAGATATTACTGAAAAAAATAGCATATGAACCTTACAAAAATGGTTAGGTTTAGATTTCCTAAACTAAGATTAATGTTCCAATATGCAAACAAATTTACACTAACTAATAAAACTACATCAACAGATACAGTTTTTCATAAGTGTTCAAAGTTACAATGTACAGAATGAGTACAGAATAAATCTGACTCACATATATCAAGTCCTACACAAAGTCATCAGAAATTAACTGGTTACTTGGTATTTTAAAACATAGTCATTTTTGGCAATGTAATATGCCAAACACTTTTAGAAAGTACTGTATTTGATTTAAAAATTTTCAACTACAGACAATGAAATCAAGATGTAGCTCAGAATATCACCTAACTTTTGAAAGCAACATTACCAATTCAGGGGTACTGTTACATTTCTACTGTAAATTAAATAACAGTTTATTCTCACTATTTGCAAATTTTATTCCATTCTTAAGACTAAGTTATTAATTATAAAATTCAGTCGTCTGTATTCATAATATAATTTATTTATCAAAAATGTGAATTCTTGAGCATTTAAGGGTATACATACTCGGATTTGGATTACGGGTCTGACTTTTCTTTCCTATTATCCTTATTAAAAGTAAAGAATGGGGCTTCCCTGGTGGCACAGTGGTTGAGAGTCCGCCTGCCGATGCAGGGGACATGGGTTCGTGCCCCGGTCCGGGAAGATCCTACATGCCGCGGAGCGGCTGGGCCCGTGAGCCATGGCCGCTGAGCCTGCGCGTCCGGAGCCTGTGCTCCGCAACGGGAGAGGCCACAACAGTGAGAGGCCCGCGTACCGCAAAAAAAAAAAAAAAAAAAGTAAAGAATGTGAGTAGCCTCATAAACTTTCTATTTCCTCAGGCCGTTAACATATATTGTGAAATAATGCATGATTAATAATGTGTAAGTAAAAGTTCATTATAGAACTTGAAATGTTCTTTGTTCAAAAAAGACTGAAATAAAATTTCAGCTCCCAATCATCTTATTATTTTGTAATAGTATTTTCTACATTTACCTTATGTGGCAAGAAGTTTTCTGTCTAATTTCATAATACAAAGATACTTTTATTGCTTCCTTTTTCCTGGGGAATGCTATACCCTCCAAATTGACCCCCCCCCCAAAAAAAAACTACACAAGGTAACTTGTTTCCTGTAATTTCACAAATCTAAAACACAGAGAAGGGCTTCCCTGGTGGCACAGTGGTTAAGAATCCGCCTGCCAATGCAGGGGACAGAGGTTCGATCCCTAGTCCGGGAAGATCCCACATGCCACAGAGCAACTAAGCCCATGTGCCACAACTACTGAGCCTGCGCTCTAGAGCCTGTGAGCCACAATTACTGAAGCCTGCGTGCCTAGAGCCCATGAGCCACAAGTACTGAAGCCTGTGTGCCTAGAGCCCGTGCTCTGCAACAAGAGAAGCCACTGCAATGAGAAGCCCATGCACCGCAACAGAGAGTAGCCCCCACTCGCTGCAACTACAGAAAGCCCACACATAGCAACAAAGACCCAACGCAACCAAAAATAAATAAATAAAACAAATTTATAAAAATAAAACACAGAGAAAAAAGTGATGATGAAAAATAATCAACAAATGCCTTAGTCATAGAAGGTCTCAACACATTAAAAAAAATTTTCCCAACTGATTTTCATAACAAGTTCCTAAAAAATTGCAAATGCAGCAATGTAAGGTTTTGCACTAGACCTCATAATAAAGCAAGATACTACACTAATTTAGACCTAACGCTTAAGATGAAAATACAGGCTAATTGAATTGTCTGGGGATTTGAGAATCAACAGCTCTAGTTTGTCTCATCATCTTTGTGTTTACCCTATTTCCCCAGAGCTCTCAAGAATAAACTGAAAATTGAGTTTTACCTTTTACTGAGTTTTGTTTCCCTTGACCACCTTCTGTAAGAGATGCTAATAAGCAGTGAGGTAAAAAGAATACACTATGCTATAAGTGAAAAGTCTGAAGAGTTTAGAAAAGAATGGGAACTAGATAATGAACAAATCAGACAATCTGCCTCATGTAAGTATGTGTGTGTGGCGGAAATGTGTACCATCTGCATGAGTGACAGGATAATCAACAATGAACATTTACTAGACCTACTATAGTTCTTTATTTCTTTTCCTTACTGTATAATCATGCAGATATTATAATGTAGTTCAAACAAGAAAACGTATTCCATTATATACATCTGAATTTATCTGAGCAAAATATGAAAAAAAAATTAAAGATTAATTAACACATGATCAATATATATATTGAAGAGACTCAAAATCAGTGTTAACCAAGCATAAATGTTGTGTTTTTTTAGGACTACTGTTTTAAATACTTTCATTCTGGTGACAACCAAGAAAAGAGCTAGCAGAACCTGTGTAATTTCCAACATGGAAAAGATAAAGAAAAGAGAGCATTAATGATTTCTATCATATTATCTGTTCCAAATTATAATAGTAGTAACTCCAGAGGACTCTTTAGAGACACTGAAAGTACTCACTGTTTGTCCTGTCCAGTCTATATTTGGTCTAGGTATCAACAATAGGATCCAGGAGTAATTTTTATAAGTCCAAAACTTATTCAAAACTCAAAAAAAAAATCTAAATAAAAATGTCATAACAATAGAGCTCAGAAGTTTGCTAAATTAGATAATCCCTAACTGCCAATGAACAATTTCATTTTCGGTAACATTTCTGATAAACCTGTGCTGTTTTGCTAGCTAATAATATAGATTGTAGGCATGGTTGAAATAATGTGAATTTAAAGACAAAGGACTTTCCTCTTCTCAAGTGATAGAAACATCAGTTTTGTTAATCTTCAGACAGAGCCTACTTTCTCATCTCTGGTAGTTATTTGGTTTTAAAGTGCATTAGGACTTGATGAAGACTCTGTCAAAATGTGTGTGTGTGTATACATATACTTATAATATTAAATATGTGTAAAAAAACCCCCAAACTACTGCTGTTTATAACATGTTTAATGAGAATCCTTTTTGTAGTCCTAAAATAAAGTATTTTGTTGGAACAAATAAGACTTTAGGACTTGATGATAATGACACTCACATGAAATTATTTTCATGGAAACTAATGTGCCTAGTCTGCTGCTTTAAAAAGCTAATGTACTACTCACAAATGAGAAATTTAAGCTTGTTACGTTTTATTCATGAGCAGGAATGACTAAACAAGGAGACTTTAGATCATCTAAACACATTGATTATGGCTGTCAATAGAAGATTCAAATTAATGAATTTTCTTAAGTTCTGTATATGGACCTAAGTTCAAATTCAGAAATAGTTAAATGACATATTTAACCTGTAACTTGAAATACAACTACATATGGGTGAAAACTTGAAATACAACACCATATGTACAAAAGTTGTTATGAGTATATGTATAAGCTAAACCTAGGCAGATGTGTCCTTGTTTAAATACATATGTGGTATGCCATGGGAAAGTGCATATATAACCTGGTAAGTTCTCTTTCCTTCCAGGTTTGAACACACAAGTATTCTGTATTTTATCCCTTTTGCTGCTTCTATCAAACAAACAAGAGCCTGGTATGCCTGCCATGTCTACTATGAGGTTATCACTTACCTTTAATGATCTCAGTAAGTGAAAATATGAATACTGAACATGAAGCTGGGAAAGACAACAATGGAATCAAACAAACTTAAAACTCTCATAGATGATAGCAAGACCATCTTCAACTGATGATGAAACAGCAAGAACCCGAAGAACAAATGAGAAAAGAAGTGAGGTAACCCTCTACAGGCAGTAAAGTGGGAGTAACCTTCTAATAGGCAGTAACAGCTGAGAGGCTGTAATGGAATCCAGATGCAATGGCACGTAAAATGAACCTGGTACTCTAGGACATCCCTGGGCACTAACAAGGACACAAGTTCACAGATACAACTGTGGAGCTACTGGGACGTAAGGACTACACTTGCAAGGTTTTGGGTATTTACAGCATACACATCTAAAGGAAGGGCTCTATCACTCAGGCATACCCCAGCCTTCAGTGAATCCTATCTTACGGCGAAGATACCTAGCTCCATTACCTACTTCCAAAAAGTGAGCTGAAATCTGAAATGAAATATAAATATTACTCTCTATCTGTCAAATAGTAATCACCTTGGTAAATTAAGATTCCACTATTAAACCTAGTGGCTAAACAACTTATTCAGGTATTCATTGTTTATACTATTAATGGGGTAACAGTTTTTCCACTGTTATTCCATTAATAGTATAATTTTATACATTAATGTGGTACTGCACTTCATCATGCTGATTTTCTTTCCATAGTAGATAAAAACTGTGCAAATGTAGAGCTTCTTCTGACCACTGGAATTTAGTTATTTTAACAATCCACCATGACCCGAGGCACTTTTGACAACCACGGGGTCAGTGAATTGAATAAAATGGTACAGACTGAATGACTGAACTGCTCCAATGCCTATAAGTAAATATCTATGAAAATTTTCTTCAAATTTAGCAATACATCTCTTCAGTAGTCTCCTGATATTCACTAAGAATACAAAATAAGATTCTTATTTGAAAAGAACCAAGAAAATTTCATTGAGTTTTGAATTTGAATTACGTTTCCATTCACCAATCCTGCTGGTTACCAAGAAAACATGTCTCCTTAGAATTTAAAGTTGTATTTTCATAGGTGTGAGAAAACAAAAGATCTATTTTGTTCACTATGGCTGCCAAAAACTGACTAAAGACTGTGGCTATTTCATTTCTGAGAAAGCAAACAGTTTAAATTTCATTAATCTTTTAAGACTTATTTTTCAACATGTATACTGTAGCAAATACAAAGTAACCCACTGTTCAGAAGAAAGTTTCATGAAATGAGAATACGTGAGGTGAGGATACAAACAGTGCTACATTTACTGAGTGTTTAGGAGAAGATCTTGGTATGGCCAATCAAGCAGACTAGCTGATATGCAGAGTCCTCAAAGACAGAGGCTACCATATCCTTTTACTGATTTTTCATAATGACTAGTACACAGATGTCATACCACAAAACAAAACCATGCTTCAACTACTTTCCTCAAGCATTACAAAACTAATTTCCTATTTTCAACATTGTAAAAATAGACTTGTCTTCTCCAAAGGATCTTGCTGCCCACACTGATGGATCTGTGTGTTCCCTCTTATTACTGGACCTAAAGGCATAACTGATCTTTATCATTCCTTAAATCCAATCTTATATAAAGTTGCATAATGCATGGAGTAAAAGAGGAATGAAGACAAAGCATGGAACCCTGTATAAGTGTGCTGACCCAAAAGCAATCACACCAACAGCCAGAGGTAGTGGAAACTGTGAAGTAGTCTTCAACAATTTACTGTAAAGAGACAGAAATACACATTATAATGTAACATATATTGTGAACAAAAACTGAACATGTCAATCTTTTATACAGTTTTGAGAAAGTGTTCTAAGTGATTTTAGATAAAGTAATTTTTCGTATAATGAATTTAACTGTCCAAAATTTTTTAAAAGATCAATACAAGTCAATTTTGGCTAGAAAAGAGAAAAATATTCTAGTAAGTAAATAACCACTTTTGTTTATTCTTTTAAATTTTAACCACAGAAAAATACTAGTTGGACTTTTATTCAGCAATGCTACCTCTAGAGATTTATCCTGATAAGAAAAAAATCAATGTTTACTAAGATATAGCTACAGAAATATTTATTTTCACCCTATTTAATATCAGCAAAAAACTTCACCCAAATAAAAAAGGAAACATCTTTAATTCCTAATAGGAGCATGTAGGATAAGACACTATTTTTAAAAGAAAAATACTATCAGGAAAGGCTATCACCTTTTTACTCTGAAAACAGAGAAACTGAGGGGTTAAGAAACTTACCTAAGGACACAGAGCCTTAGATTGAAACCCCAGATCTGCCTGACTTTAGAATATCTGCAACTATCTGCCAGAATTAACTGAAAAGGCTCCCAGAGCAAACAAGCAGTCAATGAAAAGTAAAGTTTTATTATGGAAAATTTTAAACATGTACATGAGTAGATTAACAGTATAATGAACCTCATGGACCCATCAACCAGCTTCAAAAATCATCAAGTCATGGCCAATCTTACTTTACCTATATTACTGTCCACTTCCACTCCTCCTGTATTTTTTGGAAGCAAACCTTAGATATCATATCTTTCAAGGGTTAACTTTTTAAAGAAAAAAAATGATTATATCCTAACAAATAAAATGCATAATTAAGGACACAAATATAATACATTTGCATATAAACTGTATTTGCACATAAACCACAATTACTATTATAGCTTTACCTTCAGGAATAGTCCAAGTAATTAGGAACGAAAGACATGTTTCAGACATGAAAGTATGATAAAGACCAGGAACAGATGTGAGAAAAAAAAAGATTAAAATACTATACCTTGATTTTATTGAAGCAGTGTAAGTATTTCCAAGAACTGCCATAGTTGGAATAAGGATAAATGCCAAAGGTTTACACGGATCAGGATTAAGTTTAAAGTAATACCTATGTCAAAAAGAAAAAAATAAAACATAAATCAACAAAGCATTGCCAATCATTTTAAATTCTCAGAATCAATCAATTAAATACACTTCAAAACGTTCCTATAGCGATATGGATATAAGAGAGCTCTAAACAGCTCAAGAAATCAATGATAAATAAATTTTGCTCTACATCTTTTTTTACCGCTGTGGCCTCTCCCGTTGCAGAGCACAGGCTCCGGACGCGCAGGCCCAGCGTCCATGGCTCACGGGTCCAGCTGCTCCACGGCATGCGGGATCCTCCCGGGCTGGGGCACGAACCCGCGTCCCCTGCATTGGCAGGCGCACTCCCAACCACTGCGCCACCAGGGAAGCCCTCTACATCATCTTTATACTCAAGGTTTTATATGGAGAATTATGTTCAGAAACTACTAAAGGAAATGAAAATATCCCATCTGGAAGCACTTCCTTTTTACAATAAGTATATGCCTCAAAGGTCATATATAAATAATATTTTATAAAATGAATTATTTAAAACATATTTAAACTGCTCTATTTAAAAAAGATGAAAAAAATGAAGATTTATATAAAGTAACTGTCTACAGCCTTCTAGAATCATAAATTTGTGCTCCTCAAGTAATTTTCTCCCCAAATCTGTGGACAAAAATTTGCACCTTGATTAAAATAAGGGACAAAGGAAGGATATTAATATCTGGTGACCTGTGATTTAATTTACTGAACTTATTTTGATTCAGCCAACTTAAAAAAAAAAAAAACTTCCCGTATTTAGATAATCTGAAAGTTTTACATCATTTCTAAAAACTATATTAAGCAGGGATTAACTATTAACTGGATAACGTGGTTTTTTCAAAGACAATTTATCAATAATTAAATATTCTAGAAATAACCTTAGAGAGCATTTTTAGGCTCTCATTTAACCTAGGACACTTATCATGTAACAAAGCAAATGACAGTTTTCTAGTAAAACAGCTGATCATTTATTTTAGTTCAACGTATAGGACACATCAGAAAAGTACACACTTCCTTCGTTATTTCTATTATTTTAAATGTAATCATTTTTCTTCCCCTCAAATCTAAGAAAATATAAAATTGATCGTGAATTGAAAAATATATAAAGCACTAGCATTATGAATACTATAAGTCAGCAAAATAAAGCACATTTTCACATATTTCTAGACTCAAAGAAGGTTAAAGAAAATACAATCCCTCCCCTTTTGGGCAGATTTTGGGAAAGTTTATATTCTCACGGAAAAGAAGAAAATGTGAATATGTTGAAAATAAATTTCAGGTGATACCTTCTTGTTCTTGAGAAAGTTTTATGAAACATTAGGAATCCTACAAGTCTCTACTTACAGATATTTATAGTTTGAACCACATAAATTATAATTATATAAATAAAACACACCTAAGATTCTTCAGCCAATAAATTAAAGATGGCATGCTGAGTAATACAATCCATGTTAATAAGTTAATCACGGTACTGTGCATGCGAAGACTGTCTTCAGCATCGCTGGCAGATAAACGGAGGTGGTACACTGTAGAGTCTTTATGGTGATTGGATTTTTTTTCACTTCTTCTAGAGTGTTTGGGGTTCTACAAAGCAATAAAGTTAAAATATCAAGATATTAAGTAAAATTTAAGTTTATTATTTTATTTAGAATCATACTCAATTATCTAACAGCTAAATAAATACATCTTTCCATTACCAAATTGATATAAAATACTGAATTATCTTGTTTGAAAGTATTTTAAAGCAGTTATCAGTTATACAATTTTTATTCCTTTGACTTGTTATTTCCACTGCTAAGAATATATCCCCTTAAGTAATTACTTGAAATAAAATTTAAAAGATAATTGCGATAAAAACAACTAAGGACTGACAAAGATCAAATTAAATGACAATCTAAGTCTTATTTTAATACTCATTAGGCTCGCTTTTCTTAAAGTTATTTAAATTCATAAAACCTTTTAAATACTGTAAAGTTCTAACCTTTTTTTACAAAAATAAACTTTTATATTTTTCCATGTTCTTTCATGCTAAAGTGATATAGCGTTTTGAAAATAAAACTTACCACAGTCTGGCTATTTTTAAAAGTTGTTAAGCTGGCTTGCAGATGAACAATCTATGAAAAAGAAAAGACTTTAATTTTACTTTTATTTTGAAACAAAAAACATAACCATTTTTACTGAAATTGAGAAGCACTGTAATTTGAAATTTTAAAAACCTAAATAAAAATTCATTTAAACACTTAAACACATTCTTTTAGAAAAGATAAATAATAACTACATGTGCTTGCTATCATGGATTAAAAGACAAACAAAATAATACAAAATTCCAGAGTATGTTGGGGTCAGGATATAATGCTATATCTTCCACACTGTGTGAGCCTATGCTTGAATGGTGCCTTGCTATCGCAACTTAAAGTGTCATGTGAGTCAAAAATTTGATTTTATTCAGCATAGTATAAAGAGTTTAACATGTGTTATATAATCTAAATCTTTGAAAATCTGGAACTGAATTATATAGGGTGGTGAAATGTTTACAAGAACCTGAGAAAGTCTATACATTTACTAGGTTTGCTTAAGTATTTGAGAAAGTTCTGCTAATTGTGTCAGTTGTTTGAAATATCCAGTTAAAAAAACTAAAAATATTATATTTATAAATCAAATTAATTTATATTTGTAAATCAAAATAATTCTAAATAGTTTTTTCTGATGGACACATTTTTCCTTTGTAAACTGAAAGTAATCTATAATGTGCATATATTAGTGTTAAATGCAGACGCAAATAAACCTTTGTTAAAAAAAGGAAAAAATTATTATCCTTTCCAGTATCAACTGTCTCTACATAAGATTAATGTGGAGAGCATGCAGTTGTATAAGGTAGATTTTCCTGAAAAGCTGTCAGCCTTCTTAGAAGTGTTTTTCATTTCCTCAGTAAAATTGTCAGCTTAATTTTATCGTGTCTTGTGATTCTTCAGCAACATTTGTAACATTCTACATTATTTCAGCATGATTGACAGCCTGATCCCACTGACATAACTTTTTGTTTTGTCTATTATCCACGTTGAAAGGGAGGTGTGAATAAAAACCATTCTAGTAAAATGTTTTTTAAAAAGTTAACATTACTTGCCAGAGCATCAGCAATATGGAACAGATTAAATCTCCTCCCTTCCCTTTGTTTTTAACAAAGAAACCCACTCAGATTAGTAACTTCAGTTCTACAGTTAACTATATATATTTGAAATAGCTAAGATGTTAAAAAAAACTTTACATGTAGGCCTGTTACATAACAGCAGTGATCAAAAAAATTTTTTTAACAACACCCACGGGAAAGTCTATGCCTGTCTGATACAAAGCTCAGGCCTTCTGACTTTACTGATTTGACATACCTTAAACACATAGTAAAGATAAGTAAGAAGGATGGCAAATGCTCCACAAGTTGTCCAACTAACTATGATCAAAACAACTGTCAAAATGGGCAAGTCTGGTGATATTATCTTCATATCTTTAGGAAGTTCAGAGGGCCTGGAAAAACAAGAGTAAAGCTTTCAAAAGCATATTAACAGTTACCTACACAGTCACATATAAGCAGAAAACAATACAGTGCTCTGCCAGGCTCTCCTTATTAATGTGCAAGTATTACTATAAGGTAAACAGGCTTTTTAAAATAAAGGTGAGGGGTGACACATATTTTAAAACTCTTTTATACATTGTGATAGTTTCTCTTGCATTTATATATACTATGGGTAATACGTGTACTAAAAAAGAAAAAGTATTATTAAAGATAATTATTAATTATAGGCCCTGTGCCACACAATTCCAATCTTGATAGGAAGAGAAATACTTTTGTTCTTAAAGTCTTGAGGTCACTCAGACATGTGATGGTGTTAATGTCAGAAGCACCTCAGAAGGGTGGAGGAAGAAGCATCATACCATAGTCCCCTCTGTGACAGTAAATCACATAACATGGCTGGTGAGGAAATGGAAACTAGATCACTGGTTTACCAAAAGCGCATACCAGCAACTTCAAACTGTCTTGGGATCATAATAAACCTCTAGGCAATGTTTTTGGAGCTCTTATACATTTCATCTAATCTGATCCTAAATATCAAGATTGGAGTCTCAGGTTTGATTGAAAATCAACATATAAAAGCATTGCCAGAGAAACACTTTGCCCTTGGAAAGATTTACAACAGTGAAATTTAAAAATACTTGTGTAATCTGTCCAACTTTTTTGATTAACTCTTGAGCACTATGGTCAAAATCAAATGTAGCATTTATCTTGAAATAAATGGTAACCTATGACAAAAACATAAGTTTGAACACTAACTCCATGTTTTGCTAGTTATACATTTTTCCTCAGAAATTATAGTTTAGTGAAAGCAAGTTAATTTTAAGGTTCCCTTTCAGAATACAGTTTTTTTCTTAGGAGCAATAAGAAAGGTTTTCGTCATTCATTCTTTACCTTTTCAAAGTCAGCCACAATGAAGAAAGGAGTCTCACAGATGTAGAAGAGAGTAGGCCACCCCAGTAGGCAGTACATGTTCCAAACAGAAAAAGAATCAAAGATACAAGGGGGAAACACATACTCTGACTAGTTAAAACGATGGCATCTAATTCTGGTAACAATAACATATCCCAAAATTCTTTAAACCATTTGTATCTGTGGATAAAAGAAAACATACAAAACATAAAAGCAAATAATACAATAAAAGCAAAAAAACCCCGACAACTCTCATTAAAGGATTTAATATTTGAAGTGTTTGACCATTCACTACAGTCCCCAGAGTACCATGATATTTCATTTATAATTATACTGAAAAAACAAACTTCAATTCCTGGTAGGGAACTACTGAGTCTAGTGATCTTCAAGGATCTGAGTCTCAAGTCTCAATGCAGCTTTACTGCTCTCATTGATCCTTGTAATGAAGTAATAACTGGTCTTTTTTTTAAGTTAGAAAGCCAATAGCTAGTTATAAAGACAGAAGAAAAGACATCTAAGTAATGGTTTTTAACCAAACAAAAACAAAAACAAAACCTGAATAAATTAAGAATGCGACGTTAAGTAGGGTAGAGAGAGCTAAAATATACTTTGTATGGGAAGTAATAAAAAGTGTTCTGAGGCACTGTTTCACCAATATCCTACATTGCTTTGTGTCCATGAATCTGGGATACCCAAAGCTCATGTACCACATACATCCTTTTGAAAATGTTAAAGTCCTGGTATATTTATAGTCTAAGTTTAGACTGATATATGTGTATGTATATATATTATATATATAAGTTCAATAATTACTTCTAAACTATTGAAGTAAATGTTGATGTACTTATTAGGCCTTTGCCTAAGAGAAAAAGTCCATTTAATAAAACAAGTCAATTGCCTTATTTGTATGGAAATTTATCCTTCATATTTGAGCCAAACATAATACTTTATATATAAAACAAAATTAAAATCATTATTACAGATAATAAAACTTACCCCAACAGAAACTTAACCATAATTACAAAAGGATCAACTTTGTATGGTTTGGCTTCTTTATCCAACATAGCAGCATATTCTAAGCAGTGACCTAGTGATTAAAAAAAAAAATTATATGTAGTAGAGAATTCACAGTAATTAAGTATGAGACATATTATATGCTGCATTGTTTGTAAAAGCAACATATTTCATGTCATAGAAAGCAAGGGTCTTTATTACTACCACAGAGACTCTTCTCAAAAGATTAAAAATTACCCTAATTTGAAAGACAAATCAAAACTACAAGGAGGTACCACCTCACACTGGTCAGAATGGTCATCATTAAAAACTCTACAAATAGCAAATGCTGGAGAGGATGTGGAGAAAAGGGAACCCTGCTACACTGTTGGTAGGATTGTAAATTGGTGCAGCCACTATGGGAAACAGTATGGAGGTTCCTAAAAAAACTAAAAAATAGAAATAACATATGATCCAGCAATCCCACTCCTGGGTATATATCCAGACAAAACTCTAATTCAAAAAGATACATGCACCCCTATGTTCATAGCAGCACTATTCACTATAGCCAAGATGTGGAAACAACCTAAATGTCCATCAACAGACGAATAGATAAAGATGTGGCACATATATACAATGAGATATTAGCCATAAAAAAGAACAAAATAATGCCATTTGCAGTAATGTGGATGCAACTAGAGATTATCATACTAAGTGAAGTCAGTCAGAGAAAGAAAGACAAATATATGATAGCACTTATATGTGGAATCTAAAATATGACACAAATGAACCAATCTATGAAACAGAAACAGACTCATGGACATAGAGAACAGACTTGTGGTTACCAAGGGGGAGGGGGTTGGGGGAGGGATGGAGTGGGAGTTTGGGATTAGCACATTGAAGCTTTTATATATAGAATGGATAAACAACAAGGTCCTAATGTATAGCACAGAGAACTATATATCCTATGAAAAACCAAAATGGAAAAGAATATAAAAAAGAATGTATATATATATATATATATATATATATATATATGTATGTATGTATGTGTGTGTGTGTGTGTGTGTATAACTGAATCACTTTGCTGTACAGCAGAAGTTAACACCTTATAAATCAACTATACATCAATTTTAAAAAGTTAAAAAAAAGAAAAAAAAAACATAAACCTACCATAAAAATTTACTCTAATTTACTGTTTCTCATACAAAAGTACATAGTCAATCATCATTTGTGAAACAAATTCAGGAAGCCAAGGCTATGGTTTTGTCATTTGTATTTTTATAAAGCTCCACAGGTGAGCTATTTTTTAAAAACTGTTTTACTGAGATATAATTCTTATAACTCAAAATTCATCCGTTTAAAGTGTATCCAATTCAGTGGTTTTTTGTATATTCATAGAGTGTGCATTAACAACCACAGTCAGTCTTAAAACATTTTCATTACTCCCAAAAGAAACTGTTCCCCTTAACTGTCACCTCCAATGCCTCCCCCTTCCTAGGCAACCACTAATCTACTTTCTGTCTCTACAGATTGGCTTACTCTGAAGATTTCATAAAAATGGAATCATAAAATATGTGGTCCTTTGTGACTGGCTCCTTCAACTTAGCATATTTCCAAGATTCATCTATCTTGTAGCATTCAGCACATTATCTGTTCATCAGTTGATGGACGTTTTGGTTGTTTCCACTTTTTGGCTATTATAAACAGTGTTTAGTGTGGATGTGTGTTTTCAGTTCTCTTGGGTCTATACCCAGGAGTTGCTGAGTCATATGGTAACTCTGTTTAACCTTTTGATGAACTGCCAGACTGCTTTCCAAAACAGCTATACCATTTTACATTCCCACTAACAGTATACAGAAGGTTGCAATTCTACAAATTCTCATTAACACTTGTTATTATCTGTCTTTTCTATTATAGCCATTCCAGTGATTTCTAATAAGCATCTTTGGTTCAGAACTACTTCTTTAATTGATTTGGGACACAATCCCATACTTAAGTCCTCTAGATTAACCAATATCATGTATCTCCAGGGTCTCTGTGGACTATCTAGATATAAATCCCAAATGTTTGAAAATCAATTGTCAAGTCACTTAAAACTAAGAAGAATGAGGTGTCTCTTTTAAATTTCCAAAAATTATATTCAAGTATAGGAGATGTCATATTGCCAGAATAATCTTTTAATTAAAAGGTTGGATCTGAGCACATCACATTAAATGTTGCTTACTTCTTCCTGGAATATAATAGGTTAAATCAGGTTAAAATGAACACTAAAGGCAGACTTGAAATTGCAAAAAAGTCACTGAAAGGAAACGAGTAGCTGTGAAAGGATTTGGCACCATGGCAACGGTGGAGGGGATTTTTGGACTGCTTTTGTATGTTTTGTCCCCACTCTCTTTCCCTCTTGCCTCCTCTGATTATCATTGTACAAGCCCAGCAAGTGTGTGAGGCTCCTGGGAAATTGCTCTAATTGCTATACTCTAGAGAAGGCTTTTTGTCCAATGTACTATACAGTCTATATTTTCTTCTCCAGATCCATGTTCTACCCTTTACTTTGCTCTGAATTCTGGGAGGCTGACTTTTATCAACTGGCTTCTAGTTGGGTTCAGTGAATAAGCACTGGCAGATAGGAGGATAGAAGGAAATGAAGTTAGTGTATTTATTTCCCTGCCTTCTCCCTGCTGAGCCACACGCTGACAGTGGCCACAGCGTTTCTGTACCCAAGGCTCAGGTGCAGTACTGCTGCTCTCTCCTACAGCTCTCTAGGTTTGCTCCCTCCCTTGCCCTGATACCTAGGAGTATCAGATGGCTCTGTTGCTAATTTGGTATTTTATCATTTGTTGTTCGTTTCCCTTAACCCTATACATACCTTTGAAATAGTCCCTTCAATTAAACTCTTAATTATTCCATTCAGTGTACAAGACCTAAATTATACAGTTGATACAGCCCAAATATTACACTGAATGCCAACTGTGTGCTTGGCCCTATGTCAGGCACCGGGAATAGAATGGAGGACAAAATCCCTGTCAACCAGCTTCTATCTCTTAAGAGATCCTCAGAACAGAGGGAATAAACTTTAGACACAAGGGTATAAAATGCAGAAAACAAGTAAGGAATTTTCTTGGTAATCTCTTAAAATTTAAGAGGATCTCAAACTCCTGTAACCTTGGGAGAGAAGGGTTGTGAAGTTTCAAGAAATAGATGTGTCTTCATTAGCTACACGTAGGATAAAAAAAGTAGTAATGAAGCACTGAGGAAGGAAGAGAGGGAGGGAGGAATAGAAACATTCTTACCTGTTGAGAAAAGAGAGTATAACTGTCCTCCGTAAGCAAGAAGGATACTAGATATAACATAGGCAGGAAGAGCTCCACCATGAAATCTAACTACCTAGAAAACAGGCAAATCAATGGGCAACTTCTGAATGTTCATGTTAATGAAATAAATATACTTTCACATGAAATAAAAAAGTTTTTCACTTTATACATTTTCTGACATGACTAAAAGATATCTTGAGTAATGGGTATAAAAATTCTAGGCAAAATAAATGCTAAGAATATATCGCATATTAGAAACATGTTACCTGAATTTTTCATCAAAGGCATAATAGAGGCAATATATAATTGTGTAGCACATGCTACAGAATTTTTTACAAGGAATGTTTATTGAGCATTTAATATGTTCCAGGTATAATACTAAACATCTTATATGCATTATCTCATGATCTCCTCCCCAAAATCCTTTCATATAGTTCTTATCCCTATTTTACAGATGAAGAAATTCAGGTACAGGGGGCCCAAGTAACTTGCACAATTAAGAGACAAGCGAGTTACTTACTTCCTTGTCACCTCTCTTCGCTCTTAACAGTAAGATAGGGACAATAATAGTACTTACCTTATAGGTGGTTTTAAGGATTTAAACATGTTCATTTGTGTAAAGCATTTAGAATATGAACTTGAACATGATAAACTATCAAAAATATGAGCTGCTATTGTCAGGCTTTTATGTCCTTCACCATCTTTGGAAATCTTGTGGAATGGAATTTAACTCAAAGCTTAAGTTCATAACCATTATGTTATAGCACCTCAAGTCATTCTATCAGCTGATCCAATCTCCTTAAAAAACATACATATAACAAAAACATAGTGTAAGTTTTTCTTTTAATGTTAAAGTCTTAAAAGGAAATTACTTTAAAGCATGTTCTCCAATCCACAGAATTTTTTAAAAAAATGTACAGATTCCCCTGTCAATCTAACGAAAACTATGGAAATGAATGCTTCCACAAAATGTTAAGTAAAATTTCAGCAAGTTCAAGGCCTCCCTGAAGCTCCTCTGTGGATTCCCAGATTAAAATTGATAAGACTCAAAAAACATAAAGCTCATACTCATGATTTATAGTTTGTAGCTTTGAGTGAAAGGAGAGGAGAGTTGAGTGAAAGGGAAAAGGTCATTTTCCTACCTATTACTAAATGATGCTCACTGCCTGCTAATGACATGCTAGGAAATATACAGCATACTTTAGTTATTAAGTGTGTTGGAAAGATAGTTAAGTAGCATAACAGGCTCAGAGTCGTACTCCTGAGTTCAGACTACAGCTTTGCCTTTCACTAGCTCTTAGGCAACTTATTTTACCCCTCCTTCTCCCTAGGCCCTTATCAGTAAAATGGAGTTAAATAGCACTATCTCACAGGGAGTTTGAGGCTTAAATGTATTCATTTGTGTAAATCATTTGGAATAGTAACTGGCACAAGTAGGTGATCAGAAAATGTTCACTGTTATTATTAACCTTTAATGCTCTTCACTGTTTTCAGAAATCTTGTAAGAGGTCCTACATAAAATTTCTTTTTAATGACTGAGTGTCATTGTTATGAGTAGTAAATATGATACTGGGCCACAGATACAACAATCAACAACCATAAACTGGCCTCCATGGGTCATATTCAAATTATATGTGTGCTTCATTTGGTTTAGTATTTCTTTACATTTTGAATTAGATGCCAACATTGAAAAATTAAAATATTTTATCTAAAAATTCAGATTTCTAGTTTCTCTTAAAATCTAAAGATTGGGCAACACTGGGCTTCATTCCTACATGGAAATGATTTATTAAGAGTTTAAATAATTCTCTTGAGAAAGCAACTTTCAGTTTATTTTCTGTCCTCTCTTTCATAAGAGTAGACTAAACAATATGTAAGTATATTTTCCTCTTTCCTTTTATTAAAAAAAATTAATTTTATGAAAAAGTTATCTAATCAAAGGGTAAAGATTCTCCTAAGTGGTTTCTCTTTAGTCCTCTTTCCAGTCTTCTTTGACTGAATCAGTTAACACTGAAAATACGTATGATTTTTAAAAGACAAATAAGATATACAAAACCGAATTCATTCTCCTACTGTTCTCAAGCTAAATTTTGAAACAAACATGAAGGAAGAGCATCTTACATCATTCCAAACATTTGAGGACTTAACTCAATTGCCATGAATTCTTCAACATTTAAAAAAGTACCTACCTCTGATCCTGCAACACCCACACATCATCATTTTTTAGAAAAATTTCCATGTCTAAACAAGACTATTAGTCTAGGTTTTTTTGGTGTACATATAATTACACCTGATTATACAGTATCAAGCAAACTTGACTTTTCTTGTCACTAATCTGAATTATGAGTCCCAGGGATGATATGGATAAGAGAGTGTGTTATATCCTCAGCCATACCACCATGTATAGTGACATACTAAGAATACTATAGCATGAATTCTTCCCTTTTATTCCAAGATACAATTTTTCTTAATAATTGATCTCTTAACATTTTAGAGTATTTATTATAACTATCCATGATGCTATTTTCCAACTTACACTAACATTTAATCTTCTCTTTCTAATGTAGCACAAAATTTTTATGTATTAGCTTAGAATTTTCTAATGTTCACAAATTTAATAATAATCACAATCTAGTTCTTACCAGGTTGTTTTCAGGATCAAATGAGATAACATACATAAAAAGTTTCTGATTTACTTTTAACTTGTGAGTTTTATTATAATTATAGAATTAAATGACTTAAAAATTCTGCTATGCCTAGACTGCAAAACATAACAAAAAAAAATAAAGTGAAAGTAATAAAAGACACAATAAAATTTTTAGTGAATTTTAAAACTATAATTTCTCTGACTTATCAGTATTATCTATTTATGTCCAGATTGCACAATTCTGCAAATTATAATGATGCTGAATAATAATATAGTAGTTCTACAACTTGATAAATTATTTTTGTAACACTATTTGCCTATGAATTTAAGATACTCCCCAAATGAATTTAACCTATTTCAGCATGCTTATTTTTAATATAATTTACTTTTACCTTTTACAAACTGAGCTTGCACAACATAAAAAGTTCTTGGAAAAAGCTCATTTATATGACAGAGCCCACAGATTTTATTGGATTATGAATTATAGCATCATATGAGCAAATGAAATCTTAATATGATATCCATTTAGCCAAAAATATTAATTTTCTTGAAAATCAGGAATGAACTTTCATTTTTAGGAAGTATCAAACATGAAAGCATCACCTTAAAGCCAGGGGTGGCCAACTATGGTCTGTATGCCAAGAATGGCTTTCAGATTTTATTAACGTGAGAAAAAGAAGAAAAAAGGAGAAAGAAGAAAAAAGAAGTAGCTGCAGTAGTGGCAGCAGTGGCAAGAGACTATATATGGTCTGCTGAAATACTAATATCTGGTGCTTTACAGAAAACGTTTACAACCCCTGCCTTACAGTTTCTATTCACAAGGCAATAAATAATCGACAAGGAGTCGCTCTTACCTGTCCAAGTATTTGTGAAAAGGAAGTCTTAACTGTCACCTAGTTTAAAACAATTATTAAAAAAAGGTTATTTTCCCTAAACTCTAGTTCACATTTTATTAAACTGAGCACTAAGCATAATCATTAATTTTTTTATAATGATGAACCTAAAGGTACTCAAGATCTTCAAAGAATTCTCTGAACCATCAACATTTAATTTGTATCAACTGTGGTTTTGCTGTTCAATATTTTTTCTGTAATCTAATTCTTTCCCAATTGGATGAATGCTATGATACGTGGTATCATATGATACCGTGATACGTGGTAACCCTTTACTAACTAGAATATTTAATTAATCAGAATATCTTATTACCAGATCATACAAGCTAAAGGAATTTATTGAATGATTGAGTCAGAAACTATACGTATGTTTGCTGAAAAATTAAGCACAAATTGATCAACTTACTTATGTAACTCGTACTTTAAAATCTCAAACTCGCAATCATATGGTACTAAATATAGTTAAGCTAAACCACTTCTGAGTAAATTTCATAAAAATAGGTTTCACATGATATAATACCAGGAACAAACAGATCACATGTAATAAAATTTGAGCCAAGACAACATTTTAAAAAGAAATTCATCATTAATTATCTCTGCCATAAATATACCTCTTTTGATATTAGGAAGTCTGGAAAAAGGAAATTCATCTTTCATAGAGAAGTTGTAAAATAACTATATTTTGTCAATACATGGACTTTAAAAAAAATAAAGTATTTGTAAAAATATGGACGTTAAGAGAATGTGCAGTACAGCCAAATTACTAACACAATTCTTTCTATCTCTACAGTAATATTAGAAATATGAAGGCACAAGCTGAAAACCATTATATCCCTGCAAAATCCTTCAATGCTAGAAACAGAAAGCAAGATATCAGAGCATTAATAAATTCCATGAAATCTAAAATAACTCATAATATAGGTCAAACTGAAGCTTGTAGGACAGATTATATTCACTTGACCTACCAATTCTAGTTTACCCTAAGAAAGTTAGCTCTAATAAAGAATCCAAATTAAAGCAACTGAGTAGAAATAAGATATTCCACATAAACCAAAACCACCATTGAAATATATACTTCAAGCACTTAAATCTGGAATCCTTAGAAGCTGGTATGTTCTTATACAAAGAGGAACTCTTTTAGTTCATGAATCTACATGTAAATAAAATGTTACTGTTGAGTCCATTTCCCTTCTCTCAGTGCAGAGATCTACTGTGATGGTAAAACAAACCCAACAGGTACTAAATTGCACATATTAATGATTAATAGAGCTTAAAATAATGAGTGAAAATAAGATCCTTAAGCTTATCCAGTAGTGCTGGAGAATATATATCATGCCAGTTACTGCAGTATAGCCATGTCAGCTGATTTCATGAAGTTCTTCAATTTATGGAGGATCCTGGACTTGGGCTTCCAAACTGAGAAGGTTAATCTGCAGTCTCAATTTGTATTTTATTTTCTATTACTTATCAAGATACATACTTTCAATGGTCCAGCTAAGGAAATACTGAGGTGGTGCTAACAGGCAAAATGGAGACTATTTAAAGTATCATAAGTAACTAACTCTCTCATATTAATTGGCTTTCGCATCACCATATATCTGAGGCAAATATAAAAATATATTTCCAGTTTAGTCTATAACTAAATCCTAAAAACTAAGCAAACATATAACTTACCTCATATTGACAGTCTGATGATGTATACATTTTTAATAATGCTACATGGCTGTCATTTTCTGGTTGAGCAATATGGAGTTTCACAGAAATTTCTGTGGAAGATGGAACCCTGAAAAGATAAACATCAGTTCTCAAATACAAAATGCTGTGAAATAACCATGGCTAAGTCAATCCTCAGCACAACACAGTGAAATAACGTAAGGAGGCTAGATGCCACACGTTACTATGGATTGACACTTTTCCAGTCGTATCACAGCTCCTTCTAGGACACAGAAATTGGGGGAGAGGGTGGAAAGGGGTTCATGTCTGAAGCAAGTAAGGTTTAAATTCTAGATCGCTTAAATAAGAATACTATATGGTATCTTATAATATTATATTATCTTATGGGCACAATGTTACATAAAGGATACCTACATTTTACTAAGAGGCCCTGTAATAATTTCTCTAAAATTTTATTATGATTTAAATAAACAGACTAAGTAGAATATGTATTATTCAAAAACAACAAAGTTTAAGGTAAATTCTTTCATATACTTACTGAGCAATGGTTAGTGAATCTTCATAAGACCAGGGAATATGAAGTTTATAGATACTAGTAATTTCTTCTGTGGAAACATAAAGGAAATATGTATTACTAACCTTATGTTACTAAGGTTACTACTATAATACCTAACTATTTACACAATACTCATTTCATTAAAAAATAATCAGTAAGAGTTATATCACACAATAAATTATGGAGAATTACTTAATAATAATGTTTAATTAGACCTACAACAAGATATTAGAGCATATGGGAAGTGTAAGAAACTGGAAAAACATTAAACAGCTAAATCTCAATTACTACTACAATAAAACAGCAAGATATACAGTATTTTTAAAACGTGGATATTTAAACTGAAACAGACGAAGATGCTTACTGTTAAGAAAGGGTCTATGTTAAATCTATTTGGAAATATAAACAGCTTTTCTATTATCATATATTTAATATTAATTTACATAAAATATATGGAAAAATAAGTATTACAGAAAATTCAAGTGAAGACCTAATGATTCTTCAAATGACAATACTATTTTTTCAGAAATACACTTACCTTTCACTCCTGAGCACTTGCTTACCACGTTGACTTTAAAAGCTTGGTATATCTAATAGAGTTTGACCACAAAAATTTAAAAAAAAAACAAGTTTATAAGCTTGTTTAACTAAACAGTAAAGTAAAATCAAGTCCTGTTATTGTCAAGATAATTAATTACCTGTCCAAAGTTCAGAAGCTCTATATTATAGAACAGGCCACTTGTATTTAATATCACTTTCCTTGAAGACAACCCTATTGAATTAAAAGTACTGTATTACTTAGAATACCAAAAAAAATTTTTTTTAAGTACAAAAGTACTGACTGCTTAAACAATGTCTAAAATAATGCCAACAGATTTTTAACATTAGAAAATAGTTTATAAGTTCTTGCTTTCAGTATGGAGGAGTGAACTCCTAAAAATCCAATCTTTCTTCAATAAATTTTGAACAAAGCATAACATTTATAATGACTTTCAATGACATTTATGTGTTTTAAAAAATCACTACATAGTTCCAATTTCAAAAAGGTATGCTTTCTTGGTAGTTTTTTTTTTTTTAACATTTTAATAAAATTTTAAAAATCGCATCCACTTACATGTGAATGCCTTTGGATAAGAATATGCAAATGCAAGTGTTCAGATGCTTCTTTGAAAAGAGAAAACAATAAGACAAACCTCCACTGTGCAATAGACAGAAAAGGCTTGAAATATTTTACCAAGTATATCACTGAAATTCTATTAATTAAAAAATAAATACTGTATGATGTTAAGATTCTGTCAGTCACATTTAGCACCAGTTAAAACACATAACCAGTTTTTTCATAATGTTGCATTATCATAACTATATTATAGGATGTATACTTGGAGTTAAGAAAAAAAAGACTTAGGAAATATTATCAACATGTAAACAAATTTGCTAAGTACAAGGTGTACCATTAATCTGTGATTAATAAATCACTTTTAAAACACATGCTAACTTACACATTCAACTACAAACCATTTTAATAAGTACCTAATGTAACCAATATTTTAAAATACAGCACTGAATTTAAGGCACCTCAAAATGAATACGAGAAAAACTGGTAAATATGAGGTATACTTCACATTCTACTTAATCTAATTTAAAATACCATTCACTGTGGTACCCTTCTTCACAAGTAAGATGGCCTAACTTTTGGGTGTTTAAAAAATTCTAACAGGAGGTAAGAAATAATTTAACATTTTGCTTTCCACTATGGCAAAAGGGAAATCAGAAGCTGAACACTTTACTAATTAAAAAAAAATTTGTGTTTTAGCCTGACTCACACCTTGAAGATTTTAGAAAGAACATCATTATTAAAATGCTGGGGCTTCCCTGGTGGCACAGTGGTTGAGAGTCCGCCTGCCTATGCAGGGGACACGGGTTTGTGCCCCGGTCCGGGAGGATCCCGTGTGCCGCGGAGCGGCTGGGCCCGTGAGCCACGGCCGCTGAGCCTGCGCATCCGAAGACTGTGCTCTGCAACGGGAGAGGCCACACAGTGAGAGGCCCGCGTACCGCAAAAAAAACAAAAACAAAATGTTGATAGGCCCATTTGGAAGATTGTTTAAAATCAACAAATAAGCCGCAAGTGTTCGATTGTGTTATAATTTAAAATGTGAGACAGTCACCAGTAATCAAAGCATAAACTTCCCTGAATGTTCTCACTTTTAAAACAGTTCAAGTCTTAATTTATTATTAAATCTAAGATATCAAAAGTATTGGTGGACATCAGTTACATACTATTGTCAGAGTATATTTTAGCAACAATAAAATTTTCATTTTGTCACCTGAAGAAATCAAGACCCATTTTTCTTTTAATAGATTAACTTTAAAATTGCTTAGCATATTCCAGAAGCACCTATATCCATTATGTCTAGGAAAGCAGTTTCCTATCATTATACAGTATTAATCAGTTTAGCTGAGCATAAATTAAAACAAGGAGAATTTGCCTCTATGAACATGGAATTGAATATGGTATGTGTAATCATGGAGTCACAATTACAAAAATTTGAGCTAGGGAGGGTAGATCTCTTATTTTATAAGCTTGCTATTTTTTTAAAACAATTATTTTATTTATTTATTTATTTTTGGCTGCATTGGGTCTTCGTTGCTGCGCGCCGGCTTTCTCTAGTTGTGGTGAGCGGGGGCTACTCTTCATTGCTGTGCGGGGGCTTCTCATTGCGGTGGCTTCTCTTGTTGCAGGGCACAGGCTCTAGGCTTCCAGGCTTCAGTCATTGCGGCATGAGGGCTCAGTAGTTGTGGCGCACGGGCTTAGTTGCTCCGCGGCATGTGGAATCTTCCCAGACCAGGGCTTGAACCCGTGTCCCCTGCATTGGCAGGCGGATTCTCAACCACTGTGCCACCAGGGAAGTCCAAGCTTGCTATTTTTAATGAGGTAGGTGGTTTAGAGTTGTCATTTCTGTATTGTTCTGTGTATTCTTCAACCAAAAAAAAAAAAAAAAAGGTGGGGGAGGGATAAAAATCTTAAAGGAAGTTTCCTCTCTCAAGTAACAGATTCTTTTCACGAATGGAATACGAAAGAAAAATACTGAAAAAATTGGGCATGCCAAAAGAGCACAAGAGCCAACTTAACAAGAGCTCCCAACATCCAAAGCTGAAGCAACTTAAGCCAAAAAAAAAAAAGTAACAATAATATTCCATTATATCCCAATAAATAAAATAAATATCCATAAGTCCATAGTGACATAAATAAAAAATGAATAAATGGGAGAAAAGGGACAACTTTCCCTTAGGAAGAATTCCAATAATTATAGAATGCCAGTAATAATTGCTTCAGACTAGATAAACCAATGGATGCTAAAATTAGTGGGTTATTTTGAAGAAAAACAGGACACTTACACATTCTCAAAGTATCTCCCCCAAGATATTTATTAATCACAAAGAGAAAAGCAAAGCAGTAACTTTACAGTGGAGAAACCTGGCAGACAACACATTAACCAAGAAGTGATCAAGGTCCACATCATTAGTAATTAGACACAGTGACATCATGTATCCTCTGATATGATACACTGAGAAGTTCACATTGCTCCTGTGATATTCTTGCCCAAAATGCATAACCTCAATCTAATTATAAGAAAGCATTAGACAAAGCCAAATAGAGAGATATTCTACAAAATAACTGGCCAATACTCTTCAAGGGCCTCAAAGTTATAAAAGACAAAGGAAGACTGAGGAACTATCAAAGATCAGAGGAAACTAGGGAGACATGACAACTAAATGCAATATGGGAACCTGGAGAACACTGGTGGAAAATCCAATGAAAACCAAATAAAACTGTAGTTAACAGTATTGTACCAGTGCTAATTTCTTAGTTTTGACAATTTTATCGTTTATGTTAAGGTGAATGAGAGCTATGTGGGAACTCTACTCTTTCTGTGATTTTTCTGTAAGTCTAAAATTATTTCAAAATAAAATTTAAAGGAATAGTTAGTTATGTGTATGTTACCACAACAACAAAAAAAGGGAAATATTTAGAGCAATCTTGAAACCTTCAGACGGCAGGTAGTAATTTATATCTTAGAATAAACCTTTTATAAAAAGGGCCTATATGTAGTATAAGTTCATGTGAAAACACATACACACAGACAATTACCTGCAAATGTATATGATCACGGATACGTTTATTTTAAAGTTCATTTCTGGGACTTCTCTCATGGTCCAGGGCTAAAGAATCCGCCTTACAACATAAGGGACGTGGGTTCGATTCCTGGTCAGAGAACTAAGATCCCACATGCCGTGCAGCAACTAAGCCCGCGCACCACAACTGCTGAGCTCACATGCCTCAACTGGAGAGCACACATGCTGCAAACTACAGAGCCCACACGCTCTGGAACCTGTGCGCCACAGCTACAGAGCCCACGTGCCCTGGAGCCTGCACACCACAACTAGAGAGAGAAAACCCACACGCCACAACTAGAGAGAAGACCGGGTACCACAACGAAGAGCCTGGGCGCCGCAAGGAAAGATCCTGCGTGCCTCAACGAAGATCCTGTGTGCTGCAACTAAGACCCAACGTGGCCAAAAATAAATGAAATAAATAAATAATTAATATTTAAATAAATAAATAAAGTCTATTAAAAAAAATAAGGTTCATTTCTCAGAAAATGATTGCTGGCCTACTTAAAAATCAAACCACTAAGCCATATCACGTGGTTATTCTAAGAACTACACTTGAAATACACAAAAACACTTAATGTTAGGGCTCTGCATTATTGCAACTAACTGGCAAAATAAATCAACACTCTTAAAAACAGAAGCAATTCTTAAGATTTCCAAAATCAAAGTACTTACCAAAGGAAAAAAGATGAGTTACAGGAAGCTGTATGGATCTTGTCTCTTTTTTAAAGAATTCACAATCTACAACAAACTGGAATATAAAACATTGATTTATTAGGAAAAAATAGAATTAAATTTATAGTAAAATATCTTCACTTGATATCTGAGTAGAAGACAAAAATCTATAAACTTCAGCTTTGAAGAAGGTATTATTTATTATCTATTACACTCTAACCCTGGTTATATTTAGGGGGCATGAATTCCTCAAGGAGAGATGCTAAGCTAAGAGAATTTGGTGACAAAGCCTAACTTAATAGATAAATTATTAGAGGGTCATTTCTGTAAGAGCAGATGTACAGCAAAGTTTTCTTGCAGCTAGTTTCAGGTGTTTATAGAAGAGGGACCATAAACGATGGATCAAAGCATTAAGAGCCAAGATTAACTCAAGATAATTAAGAATTTAGGTAATATATCTCTGAATTCTTTCATACTCAAAAAGAAATGTGATTTTGTTACATCTTTTCAAAAATTGCATATTTAGTATGTTTCAGCAGTCTAATTAGACTACAAAAGGCTTTTGGAGACATACTGCCATTCATCTACAGATGGCTAATGTTATTCATGTAAGATTATTTCAGGCTAAACAGATTATAATAAATGGCAAAGAGATTCACTATGTACAAAGGAAAAAAAACCACTATCTCAAAAAAAGTGAACCTAAAATGTGACATCTGCATCACTGCAATCTCTGTAATGGCATTTCTTATCTAATAACATTTCTACAGTGGCATAACGAACCTTGCTCTCAGCTGTCTACAATAAGAACAGTTTCATTAAAATCATTTCCACAATCCAGCCAAATTACTCTGATCTATTTATATGAGCTGAGGAAGAAATTAATTCGATGCCTAACTGTAGCTAGCAAGTAGTTTGCTGTCTACAATAAGTGGAAAGTCAGTGGGGTCTATCCTATGCTTTTCCAGTAACTACACCTTGGATTGTATTTTAAGCTATGTTATGTTGTTTGCCTCTTGGGTAGAGTTTTGACTGTTTTTGAAAATGAAAAACAGATGAGGGAAAATGAGAATGTACACACACAAGGGAATAAAAGAAAAAAACTAAGGGGCTCTGCTTTTATTTTTCCCTCTTTAATTAGAAGGCAAAGAACACTGTCAGATATTTTCACTACAGAAAACAGCTGTTATAGAGAAATCATTTATTCAACAGGATAATTCATTATATTTTTACAAGTATCTTTGGGTGACACATTGCCTGAGACAGGGAAGCAATTTTAAATCACTTTAACAGGTATTTAAAATAATACAACTTTTATTATTGCTTTAAAAATTTGGCCATTTCTTTATGGAATAAACCCTTACCCAAAAAAGAAAGAATTCAAGAGTCTGTCTCTGAAATATACAATGTAAGTAAATTTCTAATGGACTTAATTATTTTGTTTTCCGTCATCAAAAAATGCAAGTAATTCCACATTTACACTTGGAAAACTATATTAAGATGATTAGTTGACTTAAGAAAATTTTGAACTGCCTATTTAAATATATGTATCCTGGGCTTCCCTGGTGGCGCAGTGGTTGAGAGTCCGCCTGCCGATGCAGGGGACGCGGGTTCGTGCCCCGGTCCGGGAGGATCCCACATGCCGCGGAGCGGCTGGGCCCATAAGCCATGGCCACTGAGCCTGTGCGTCCGGAGCCTGTGCTCTGCAACGGGAGAGCCCACAACGGTGGGGGGTCCGCGTGCCGCAGGAAAAAAAAAAATATATATATATATACATTTAAATATATGTATCCTTCTGATGATGGGCTATAACAGACACATAAAAATTATGAAAGGCCTAAGTTACCATCCTTGTGAGATTGGGTATGCAACACTAGAGTCAGCAGTGTTACTTTCCAAAGAGCGTTAAGACACATTAAGTATTTATTAGGCCACTAAGACTGGCTATTTGCGAAACGCTCATTAATTTCTTGGAATAACCAAGGAAGCCCTTTCCAAGTTTGGGAAGATGTGAAATTCATTCAAAACCAACTTACCTGAAAGAAAAACCCTTAAAGAGAGCTTTTAGTATTGAAGATGTTGAATTACCTCTCACTTGAGCTAAGCAAAACAAAACAATGAATCCATTATAAGGTACTCGTGAGACTCAATCTTTGAGACTTCTCCTAAGTACATCCCCTTTTCTTTTTTCCTTTAAATTTTCCTATGATATTGGCCCCAAATCTCATTAACTTTCTCATTCAAGAAACATTTTTTTGAGCATTTATGTGGTAGTCACTAAAGGTTGAGGATGCAAAGTAGAGTAAAACCTATCTGGTTCTTACTCTGAATGAATTCATACTATGGTGATGGCAATAAAGACATAAACAAATAAATTATAACTCGGTATAATATAGTCCTCAAAGAAGTTATAAACAAAATATCCTGGGAATAAGTAAGAGGCTACTGGAATAGTCTAGAAAAGGAAAACAAGGGACACTTCGGCTAGATCTTGAAGGGTAAGTTTGCTGGATGAAATGTGGAAAGGGGAGTAGAGCGTCTTTTACCTCCATCTTCTTTCCCTGCCTACTTCTCTCAAAAATCACCATCCTTTTATTTCTACTCCCACTTCACTAGTACAAGCTTTCATAATCCTATATGAGGTGACTGTTCTCTCTTTTTCTAATCTATCCTATACTATAAATAGATTCATTTTCCAAAATAAATAGCTCTGATCCCATTACTACCATGGTGAAAAATCTTTCACTTCCCTACTGACTCCTGAATTCTATAAAGTCCTGAATCTTCCAATCAAGGCCCTCCAGAATATGGCCATTAACTACTTTTCCAGACTTTTCTTCCACTACTATTCTACCCATGGTAGCCATCCTTTTAAAACTACTATTTACTTATTCACTATTTTCCAAACGTACTCTACACTGTCCATGTTTGGATCTTACTATTTCTCACTATTTCTTTATCTCAACAGTGCTGTTTATTGTAACTTTCTGCAATGATGTTACTATTGAGCATCTGGAATGTGGCTAATACAACTAAGGAACTGAATTTTTACTTTAATTTTAATTAATTTAAATTTAAATCGCTACATGTGCTAGTGGCTCCTATATTAGATATCCCAGGTCTAGAATATTCATTCTACCTATAAAAACCCTAACTATCCTTTAAGGCAATTTTAAATATCACCTCATAATAATGCCTTTTTTTATTTCATCAATCAGAGATATCTCCCCCTTTAACACTTTTCATGGATTTGCTATATTCTGATTTGTTTTATACATTTTGGATAACTCTTTCATTCTCACCCTTTCCCTGGCCACCAAATATATTTCTCTCCCGCTGCCCAACAGTATGTAGCTTTTTGAGAACAGGGTTCATGTCTTTCTCATTTGTGTGCCTCCTATAATTCCTGGCACACAGTCTTGCACATAAGAGAGTACTCAATAATTAACAGATTTGGGGGCTTCCCTGGTGGCGTAGTGGTTGAGAGTCCGCCTGCCGATGCAGGGGACGCGGGTTCGTGCACCGGTCCGGGAAGATCCCACATGCCGCGGAGCGGCTGGGCCCGTGAGCCATGGCCGCTGAGCCTGCGCGTCCGGAGCCTGTGCTCCGCAACGGGAGAGGCCACAACAGTGAGAGGCCCGCGTACCGCAAAAACAAAAACAAAAACAAATAATTAACAGATTTTGAAAGACTGATAAAGTAGAACTAATTCCCACTTGAAACAAAGAGACTTGGATTTATTCTGCTTAGTTCAAGTTAGAGTAGATGACCCTAATGCTTTAAACAGTCTTAGGTGGATCACCAACCTGGCCACTGTTTCAGATAAGCCCTAAGCTGAAGAATTCATCAAAAAATAATTTTAAATATTTAGCATGAGTATCCCCAAAACATTCTGAAAACAACCTTAATTTGTTTGTTACCTTACTTCCATGAATAGATGGTACATAAACAACAAGATGAGACAAAGATGGATAGTCTTGAAGTCTTAACGTCAGAGACTAAAAAAGGATGAAAAAAAGCTGATTTTATTTCTCAGGATATGTAGAGCTTAAAGCATGTTAAAAGAAAGATAAATTACAAACATTTATTTCTTACCTAGTAAGTCATGAAAAAACTGACTTCAAACTTTATGCTCAGTACTTCATAAAATGCCCATGTTTACATTTTCAGGTCAATGAGCCTGCTGAAGGTCAAATTTCTAATAATTATGTAAATATGGACTGCCAAAAATATTCCTTGAACTGTATCCCTTCATGTAAGATAAATGACATTTAACATTAAATTTAATTATTTTACATAATTATTTCCAGATTTGATGTTTCTTACAATTTGTCTACTTGTTTTGTATAATGTTACAGTATGATTTCTACAGTTATCTTGGTAGTATATGACAAAGAGCATTCAATAGTTGATGAATGAATGGATGCTCAATACGATGGAAGAACTGCAACTTAATCTCAAATGATTCTGATCTAGCCCAAGTAAAACAGTTGCTGGCTAATGATGTGTATGAACATCATTCCCTGGAACTTATTCAGTAACTGACATGAACACAGTAAGTCTAATAATGCACCTCACCAAATGAGCATCTATTCTTTTCTTAAAACTAAAGACCTTATCTTACAGTCCATATTTTGAGGAATGAACAGATTGGAGACTGGTCTACCTAATGAAAACCCAGGCCACCAAATACAGTTTTCAAGTCTTTTATTTTTTTTTCCTGACAGTAGATGTGGCGAGGCTGTGAGTAGTTATATGCTGTGACAATCCGTGTACATTAAGAAATTTCTGTACTTAATACTCTCCACTGTTCTTCCGAAGCACCAATGTGGGCAAGTTGGATAGAGGTTCTAAAGAGAACTGTCAACCAGTGGTCCTCAAACAACCTGACCAGATTCACCTGGGAGTGCTTGTTAAACTCCTGGACTGCACCTCAACTTAGCAAAGTCTCTGCAACACACTTACATATTCCAATGTAAATTAAAGGGCCTTAAGAGAGCCACAGAAACCAAAGTTAAAGGCAACTGAAACCAACCAGACAGGTGGTAGACAATATGAAAGATAAATTAATTAGAAAGAACCATGGTTACTCTGTGTAGCTATCCACTGAGAACTTTTGTTATTTATTCTCAAGAATAATTTTTTTCCTCAAGAATTTTTTTTTTTAGGATCAGAATACTTTAAAAAGATATCAGTGTGTCAAAATACATTTACTTATAAAGTTAAGTTCCCATATAGTTACAATGTCAGTAGGAATTTGGGAAGATAATATTCATGAAATTGTTACACTGACAGGTAAGGTTAGTATGAAGTTTGGACATTTTTCAGTGTTTTAAGGGTAAAATGACCTTAATGCTGAGGCAACACACACAGAAAATCAAACACCAGCGTTTGGATGTCAGAAACACTTCAAGTTCTGCTGCCGTGTGTAGGGCAAAGCTGTGGTGCTAAAGTATGATCTAGGCACAATAGTGACTAGGTAATTTTTCTCATTAACTTAGATTTCTTTTCAAAGTTAATTGTTTTGTTTGTTTTTAGCAATAAGTCCATTTGGGCTTACCCAATTGTTGGTCTGCTGTGGTTTCTGTCTTCATTGTACCATGACACAAAAGTTCCATGTGACTGATGCTGTTAAGGCCCTAAACCGAATTTACAAGTGCTTTGCTGGAGGATTCCATCTATTTATTAACAGTTCAGTCATCAGAGGTGTCAAAGGTGGTATGATTCTCATCTTACATTACCTTTGTTGAGATGATATAAATATGAATAAAACCCACAAGATTTTTTCACTTCAATCTTTCCTTTCCCTTCAACTTCATAGCAAAATAATTTTGTGTGCTTTTTATAAATGGGCTAACACACATATATATAATTTTAATTTTAATTACAATGGAAAAGTTTATTTGCATTTAATAATTATAATCCTTTTGAACTGAGAATGCTTAAGATAGCAGAGGATTATAATCCTCATTTTCTAACTTTTCTCTTCCAGTTTTCTCCCTAAATTCCAGTAGGGTTTTAATGCCGCCTGGCACTTTCTTCTAGTATCCACTATAAAAAGTAAGCAGCTGGAGCTTCCCTGGTGGCGCAGTGGTGAAGAATCCACCTGCCAATGCAGGGGACACGGGTTCAAGCCCTGGTCTGGGAAGATCCCACATGCCACGGAGCAACTAAGCCCATGCACAACTACTAAAGCCCGCGTGCCTAGAGCCCATGCTCCAAAACAAAGAGAAGCCACCGCAATGAGAGACCCATGCAACGCAACGAAGAGTAGCCCCCGCTCGCCGCAACTAGAGAAAGCCCGCGCGCAGCAACGAAGACCCAACGCAGCCAAAAATAAAATAAATAAATACAATAAATAAATTTAAAAAAAAAAGTAATCAGCTGGAAGAACTTGTTCTACTACTCAGCCAGCTGTTTCTTACACTTAGAAAAAACAACACAGGGGTCTAAAACTAGACGAATACATTGTTAAATCTTTGAGACTTAAAAAAAAAAAGGATATTATGATTTAAGAAATAATTTTTTAAAAATAGTAGCAAAGTAACATTTTATCGGTTTTTTTATGATTTATTTCTTCCTAACTCTTAAATTACAGACCGGAAAGGATATCCAAACTGGAAATTCAAGGAAATATTTAATATATCTTATGAATGATTGATCAGTAAGTATACCCTAATACTTCTGTTTTTGCTTTGCTCCTGCCTAGACAGTTAGGATAGAACTAGTGAGAGACCTTAAAAATGTTCTTATGAGTCAAATCACTTATTTGTCTTATCAATACAAAGCCACATGAATGAACATGCACAAAGTAAGATTGACCAAGGTGACACAAAACATAACTGCAATCATTTCAAAGTCAAGTGTAAGTGACTTGCAATCATTCATCCTGTCATCATTCCTCTCATTGGTATAGGACAGAGTGGACTAAACATACAGATAAATAAACATTCATGAGCACAAATAACTAACTGGAGTTGGGAGATGATCGGGACCAACCAGAGGACTTCACATTCAATGCTATGAATATAGTATTCATCATGACAATATATTCTAAAGTATAGATTTACTTGAAGACTAAAAACTATCAACTGGCATATGATTATCAGTTATAATAAATACAATTTGAAAATTAGAACAGATATTTTCATCAAATTTTAGAACTGTTTTATTTTCTCAACAATAGATTTTGTGAGTGTGCAAATTAGCCTTTTGTAAAGATGTGCTGACCTACCACAGTTGCTTAAGGAAATCATTAACAATTATTAAATAAATTCCATGGAGTACTATATAAAAGTAGATAGTTACTGAAGTGCTTAACCACAGATGACACTGAAACTGGAAATTGCTTTGTGTCTTTTTGAGATGCTTACTTCCCTACTGTAGGTCCTCCCCAAAATGAAGTCTGAGTATATTCAACTTAATATTTTAAGACAGACCATTCCAAACAAACCCTCAAATTGAATCTTAAAAATTTATCTATCTCTTAGTATGATGCTATAACATACAGATTTAATTTTATTTAGGATTGATGACTTATAGTTTTCACCTCTGAAAGCTAAAAAATAATTGCATGTTATTCTCCATTAAATGTATTTCCAGAGAAAATATTTCTAAAATGTATATTAGCAAATTTCAAGTTTATTTAATACCTAGAATTAATCAAAGACCATACTGTACATGCCTATATGCTCAAATATTTTTTCACCTGGATATTAACATTCTAAATCCACAATTTACCTTAATTGTTGGCAGCAGTTCAGCTTTCCATGATAAATCAACCCCTTGCCGGCTTGGAAATAAATATGAAAATATAATTAAAGGACAAATATATTAAAGTATTATAAATTATAAATGAGCTTCAGAGCAAAAAGAAACCATCTGTAGACCTACCAAAGACAGTTCTAATGAACTCAAGTCTAATAGGTCTAACACAATACACTTTATCCACATAGTCCTTTGGGGAACAAAACATAGTTTTTCCTAGCAACCAACTATCAATGTTTGCAAAAATTACTAGTATGTTAATTTTCTTTATTTTTAATTTTAAAATCAATACTATAATTTAGTTTAGTAGCAAAATGAGCTTAAGAATATCTGAAGTGGGACTTCCCTGGTGGCACAGTGGTTAAGAATCCTCCTGCCAATGCAGGGGACACAGGTTCGATCCCTGGTCCAGAAGATCCCACATGCTGAGGAGCAAATAAGCCCGTGCGCCACAACTACTGAGCCTGCGCCCTAGAGCCCGCAAGCTACAACTACTGAAGCCCGTGCGCCTAGAGTCCGTGCTCCACAACAAGAGAAGCCACTGCAATGAGAAGCTGGCACACCAAAACGAAGAATAGCCCCCACTCACTGCAACTAGAGAAAACCCGCACGCAGCAACAAAGACCCAACACAGCCATAAAGAAATAAATTTATATTAAAAAGAAAAAAGCAAACTGTTAAGCTTTAAAAAAAAAAAATATCTGGGGCTTCCCTGGTGGCGCAGTGGTTGAGAGTCCGGCGCAGTGGTTGAGAGTCCGCCTGCCGATGCAGGGGACACAGGTTCGTGCCCCGGTCCGGGAAGATCCCACATGCCGCGGAGCAGCTGGGCCTGTGAGCCATGGCCGCTGAGCTTGTGCGTCCGGAGCCTGTGCTCCGCAACGGGAGAGGCCACAGCAGTGAGAGGCCCGCGTACCGCAGGAAAAAAAAAAAAAAATCTGAAGCTATTCTGAAAGTGTGACGAGTATATCTTATGTTGAGAAAAATGAACAGAGGGCCTTATGTTCAAAACACTTACCACATAGAAGTGCTGTTTATGCAGCCAAAAATCCAGCTATTTGTATCCTATTGATTAATAACACAAAATAAAACACACTAAATATTGTAGAAAATAATTATATAAAACAGGCATTTCACTGTTTATGATAGGGTCAGTAGGCACAATGGAAACATAAAATAACAACTTATTGTTTAGAAACGTATTCAAAATGTTCTCAAAAGTCAAACAGGTCAAGGTGAGGCAAAGAAGTCTAATGTCAACATAGACAGGTAAAGCAAGTAACCTGGAGCAGCAGTATGAGAGAGTAACCTGATAGGTTATCTCTCCACAGCATACTGTTAAGCAATTTTCATTTCTGAACCAACACTTTTGGGTTCAGCAATGTCCACACTTTAATTAGGTACTTACATAGAAAGTAACCTATATTTTAACAAAACTAGAAGAGAACAACTAGAGGTAGACTTTCACACAAACAGAAAAAAAAAAAAAAAAATCCAGAGCCAAGTAATTAAAAATAATCTAAGTACAGCTTTTTAGTTTATCATTTAAGTTCTCATTTGATTACTAGGCAGATAACTTTTATGCAACTGAGAATGTGCTTGGATTGAAGCACAATTCCAAGGGTTTAAGACTAAAGCTAGTTGTTACTTTACTAGCGCAGACTGGGAATGCTGCAGAGATGGTTGTGGTATTTTAACAATATTATGTATTCAGCTTCAGTCATTTAAAAGCAGTATGACCCAAGATCTTCACTCTAACTTTTAATGAAGTAGTAAGAGCAATGCTCCAAGATCTAACGATCCAACTACTGAAATCCTACCAGGGCATAAGAGAATGAGAAACACTGCTGAGACAGCTACATATATTTTTCCTTAGTATACAGACAGGACAATAAAAATATCAATCATTTCATTCAATTAATATTTATAAAGTCCATTCCAGGGCCAAGGAATTATGCTAAGCCCTCAAGAAAAATGATGAATCAAGCAGACATAGCCTCTGCCCTCATCAAGCTTAAATAAAATTTTAAGATATTTTTCAAGAATTCGAAAAAGCAAGCTGAAAGAAAACAAACACAATGTGGTATTTCTCTACTCTCCACTGCTGGCAAAATACTTCAGTAAACTCTTTTATCAGTTACCTGTGTTTACCAGAACCACCACGTGACATTATAAAGCAAGGAAACAGAACAGATCTGCATAGCCTAGACAAAGAGAATGTAGCAACCTCTCAAGATCCAACTCACTTTTGTAATAGGTTTTTGCAGTTATTGCAACTCAAAGACAGCCCTTATTATGAAAATTGCCAATACTGCACACTACTTACTTTGGTGTCTAGGGAATTCTGATTCATTCACTAACAGACTGAATAAAGTATTATTCAAATCCACCCTAAAACACCATGTTGTTATAACCTAGAAGGTGTCAAAGAACAATTTTAGGTCATCTAGTAAACACCCCTAACTCAGCTAATTTTAAAACTTGTATTAAAAATCTTAGAAAAAGTCACTCAGAATTTACTAACTCCTGAAGTGCACAGAAAAGAAAATGCTACTTGATTATAAAATTTACAGATCTAAAAAAAAAAATCTATCTACAGTAAAAAATACGTCCTCGATGGCTGCTAAAATCATTAGGTGAAAGACTGACTAGGAACTTTATAATGAATGGATCATGCCAATATGACCTGAGTCTACTGATATATCAGTCCACTGATTTTTGTCACTAAAAGTGGGACAACCAGATATTATATACCTCCCGATATGATAAGTACGCAGTTCTACTTATAAAACATTCATACCATAAATAAATGAATCTATTCAAGATTCTAGATCTAACTACCAGTTTACACAAAACAATGGCTAGAAATACATGTTAAAAGATACCACAAGAATACAATCAACTAAACCCAGAACAAATGTATGGCATGGGGGAAAAAAAGAGGGGGCTGTTAAAAAAAGACATAGGACATATGAATCAAATGCAATGTATGTACTTTTTGGATTCTGATTCAAACAAGCTAACTTAAAACTTAAATGAACAGAGGAAAATTGAACATGGACTGGATACCACATGATATTAAGGAATAAGTAATTAATTTTGTTGGATAAAATAATATAATAATATTATTATTATATAATATTATTAGTATTATAATAATATGTAAAATTCTTATCTGTTATAAAAACATACTGAAATATATATTGATAAAATGCCTGGATTTTGCTTTAAAAATGCTTCACTCAAAAAAAGTGAGGAAGGGATAAATCAAGTAAGAATGGCAGAATATTGATAACTATTAAAGCTGTGTGATGGTTAAGTAAGAATTTATTATATTCTCTCTCTACTTTTGTATGTTTGAAAACTTCTATGATAAAAACTGAAAACATTTAAAACAAATTCTCCACATGACTAGTAATACTTCACCCATGGACCTTAATTACAGAAAAGGGATCCTCCAATAAGCCAAATGGATAATTTGCACTTTGGCAAGGATTTTTCTCAATATAATACTGACATTCTGATTTGGAATTTAGTAGGAGTGTGGATATTTTAAGCCATCACTCTCAGGGCCAGATTCTCTTGGGATAAACTACCCATCCAAATTTTAGGCTGAGAGATGGTAGTCTGTCTCTGGTGAGAGATGCAAAACTGTGGCAATTACACTAAAATTAGTAGTCATTAGCACCTAGCCCACAGTGCCTGCCTACCATCTTTTCTAAAGACTTTACTATATATCAAATGGTGGTATCAACCAACTAAGTAATATATTAGATCCTAGTCCTAAAAAATACAAATAATCCAACAAAAGGGAAACGAGGGAACTTAAATTATGAAAGATGCAAATATAAAGTGAAGAATCCTAGGACACGAGGGGAAAAAATTCAGAATAGAGAGAAAGGAACCCAAATTGGGAAACAAATTCCTGAAAGTAAGAAGTGCTGATAAATTATTACTTAAACAGACCTAATATAACAAAAGCATGCTAAAGCATCTAACATACTTCTAGCATAGTAGGTACTCATTAAAAAGAAATACACAAACAAAATCATCATACTGATACTGTAAGTCTAGACAACACTGTTAACAAAAAGTTACTATACTATTTTAGAGAATATTTGATATAAAAAGTACTGCAAATTTGAGTATGGAAGCCATGGGAAAAACAGGATTTACTTTATAAAACAAAGGATAGCTTTGCTTAAATATATCTATTCTTTAAAATACTAATAGAATTTTAGAATTAAAGGAGCTCTGAACTGAATTCCTTCAACCTAAACATAGTGAAACTAAAGCAGAAAAACCTAAACTAGAGGCAAAGGTACAAGCTAATAGTATAGATATATTATCAGTTACAGAAGCATTTTGATTAGTACTTTTCAATCAATACTCTCTGTTCCAGATAAGTGTTTTTCAACTAATTAGATTTAATAATAGTTCATAGCTAAAGATGATACCTACTAGATACTAGTTGAATCTTAAAAATAAACAACAGTTAGCTTTTTAAATTTACATAAAGTGTATCAATTATCTTACCAGCATGGTGCTCTGACAATAGACATGAGTGTAGATTTTTCTATGATTTGCAAGGGGAAATGTAAAATATATCTTATCAGATTCCTAAAAAAAGAGGGAAAACACAATAAATTATGAGTAGATAATTTCATCATTCAAAAATTCAGATAAAGTAATGAATGATTATTCTAATTAATTATTTTAATTCTATCATTCTTGGTGTTGTTGAGAACCAATAATCTAGGAATGGGAAGAAGATACAGATGCAAGATCGATCAGGTATAAACTCTGTAGACCTGAATTTGTCTTGGAAGTATCAGGATGAATGCATGTTTTTTTTGTTTGGGTTTGGTTTTTGGCCTTATGACCAAGATAAAATACATTTCTTAGCTCTGTTTACTGAAAAGGCCTTAGAAATGCTAACTTACTAGCCATAAACATCTCTAGTTCCCAAATTATGGTTTGCAGATACTGTTTCCCAAACAATAGGAAGAGCTTCTTTGAGAAAAAGCAGATTCAAGGTCTGGGACGGGAGATGATACACAATGAGCTAAAATACTTTCTCATACTAGACAGTGAGGAAAATATCAATGACAACTAAAGAGCAGCTATAGCAAAAAGATTCAGGAGCCTACCTTGAAATGGCTTCCACTGGTCAAGGACAGAACAGTTTTAATAGCAATTTTAGTATCAAAGATAGAACAATTTTAGTATTTTAGTTTAGAGAGAAACACAAAAATGTTTAAGCTCATAATAACACTGGAGGAAAAACCCCCCAAAACATCTTATGGTCACTGATGGAGGGTGTTTGTGAGCCAACTCACTACTCTAAAAACCAGTAAATATAAGATCCAAAGAATTATCATTTTTTTCCTTTGTAATTTGTTCTACTTTTGGTAAATTTAATAGATGAGAAGTTTTTCTATATAGTGTTTCAGTTAATAAATGAAGAAGGAATAATCGGAGTCTCATTGCTTTTGTACTCCCTATTAATGACTCTAGGTCTTCTTCATCGATAGCTGCTAACATCACAAAAAGAGAGAGAGTCTAGTAAAAACAAAAACAAAACAAAAACCTGAATCTGATGAAGCATCTAGATCCAAGATCCAGCTACCAAGTCACAGGAAAGAGTAGGGAAAGGAATATACTGGATGACATTACAGGAGTGCAATCAGCAAAATCAAGACTGTGTGAAACTCTATAGGACAAATGACTAGTTTTTTTTTTTTTTCCAACAAATAAACTGCAAGGAAAAAAAGGGTTAAGGAAGTATTAGATATTAAAAGAGGAATAAGAGACATATCAACAAATAATACGTACACCTTGTTTGTACCCTGATTTAAACAAACTGGAAAACAAAGAAACAACAAAAAATTTGACGGTTATGACAAAACTGGAAAATTGAACAGACCAGATATTAAGGAATTATTACTAAACTGATTTAGTATGGGAAAATAACGTTATCTTCTTTAAAAAGTCTAGCTTTGAAAAATAAATACTAAAATATTCTTGAAAAAAATTTTAAATCCATTGGTGGTATACTTACATTGTAAGCCACATAGGTCCATTTGGACACTTTTACTGGAACCCACATAGATGTCCCTAAGGTAAAAGAAATTAATTTGTTTGGCTTTTTAAAAAACATTAAGTGATTTCTTTTACTGAATCCTTCTCAATCACAACAGGATTTGAAAAAGAAGCAGTTTCCTGAACACTGGCTATTTTAAAATAGAAAATCTAATGAGATGTTCTCTATATGCTCATCACCAAGGAGCATTCAGATCATGTAAAGCATTTAAAATCTTTCTGATGTCTAACTCTAAGAAGTACCAACAGAAGAAAACAAATATTTCATTTTCCAAACTAAGTAGAGCATGACAGAGACATATAAAAACAAAATGTACCAGCAAAAGATATGCTGTTAAACCGAAAGACTGAAGAATGATACTGAGAAACTAAGTCAAGAATAATATAGAATTTATTTTACGTGGCTGTCAGGAGAATAGAGACATTTAACGCTTTTAAATTTTTCTACTGTCATGTTATTTTCAGTACAAAATTTTATCAGCAACATCTTTTTACTTTTACATTTTTTACTTTTCCCCTCCTTAGCGAAGAACCTCATAAGAAACCAGCATAGGGAAATTAATAAAATATAATAGGATTATAATACCTGAAGCATTACAGTTTCAAAGAATTTGTCTGCTAATGACAAATTTACCTAAAAATAATACTCAAAACTCTACTTAAAATTAAAACATGCTATTACTACCGACCTGTTAAGTCAGAAATTATTGATGGATTTTCCTCAAAGTGTTTTGCTGGATGTCTTATGAAGTGGTGATTCAAAACTGACAACTTCTTCTTGGGATTTTGAGTTATCTAGAAAGAACATTGATACATTCTGTATCCTTTTATATCCACTGTGATGACCTAATGAAACTTTGTTTCAAGTAATAATAATAAGAGCCAACAGTTACTTACTGTGGGCCAGGCACTGTTCTAAGTGCTTAACATGGGACTAACTATGTTTTGAGTTAGTTTCCCTGTATATATGTTTGTTTCTCCTCCTCAACTATATGCTTCTTGAGGAGTAGGAATCATATCCTAACATTTTATTGTCTAATATTTAGTTTAGTATATCATATACACTGAGTTTGTGAAAGAGAGCTCAGTTTCATATTATTTTGATTCTTAGCAGTATTAGTCAAAAATTTCTCATTTGTCCCTTAAAATGTATCTGTAAAATACTTATCCATCCAGAATTATAATTTATTACATGCTAGTATTAGCATTTTCTTACCTTAGAATTTAATGGAAAACAAGATTGATTTGTTAAAATTAGTTTGATGTATAATTTTTAAATAATACACCTGAGATTCACCTGTTCTTCATTAGTTGAAATGGGGTTTTTCCTAAACCTACCAAATGTCATTTAAAATACAAACTGGTCGAATACAAATTTTAATTGATTCTACTGTTGTATATAGTTGAACAGATTAAACACATTGGCGATAGAGTCACAATTAAAACAAGGTTGAAAAACTGAAAAACATTTACATTCCATGACTCCATGATTCCAATGTTAACAGCGTTAACTCTATGAAGCTGATTTACTTTAATAAATATACTAACTTAAATATGGTACCTTGTGGTTTAAAATGTGGTAAAACAGATCAACTTGTGTCTCTCTTTTACTGCATTCTTCAGGAGAGAGTTAAATATCTATCTCTCCCTAATAATAATGCAGCTTCCTGAAGGGTTAAGGAAAAAAATATAGACACTACCCTACTCCTAAGAGAGAATGCTTAGGAGCAAGGTTAAGACACAATGATAAGGAAGCATTACCCAGAGATTTGCTGAGAAAGAAGCCACACATAATAGTCTCTCAAAGAACTGGGGCCTCCAGGAAAAAGAATCCAAAAATATATGCCATAATGGAAAAAATTACCAAAAATACAAGGAACGTTTTCTCCAAAAGGAGAAGCCAGAGTTGTAGTTCTCAAAACATGCTTCTATGGAACAGTGATGCGCTGCAAAGTGACCTGAGGTGAAAGGCTGCTTACGATGAATAATGGCAATCTGTTCCCAATTCACAGGAAAAAAAAAATTAAGTTAATAGAATTCTCTGAATTTTGCTGAAATCCTTGGTGCCCATTACTATTTATCTGCTGGCAGACAAGAAAGAGATGAATGAGTAATATGATTTCCAGGTATCCTGCTAACTGAACAACTTAGAAAATCACTAATTGGGAGAGTTTATATGTAAAATATCAATACAGAAAAGGTTTGACTCTAGAAGTACATAATTTAAGTTCTGGTGAGCTTGTGTTATTCAATGAATGTAGATATTTTGATCCTACTGCATAAGGATATTTGTAATAAGTATTTTCCTTAAGGTAAAAAACAAAAAGTCAGAAGGACATATATCAAATTTTAAACAGTAAAGGGGAAGAACTGAGGAAGATTTAAGGTATTCTTTCACTTTTTCATTTTTATTGCATTCTTAATTACTAATAGTTATCAAAGATTACAGATAAAAATACAGATATTTCCATTTTCAAACTAATTACAGTCAATATAAGGTGTAGGCTTCTATTTTCATCAAAGTAAAAAAATGTATTAAATCTATCACTGCTCTAACAAAAGTTTTTACTTCACTGAAATAACTTTTAGTTTAAAAATACATACTTGTAAAAAAAAAAAAAAAAAAATACATACTTGTTTAGTATCAGCATCAATAAGATCAAAGAATGCTCGAATTGTGGTCAATTGTAATTGTTTACACCTAAAGAATAAAATAAATGTTACAAATGAAACTTTCTTTAAAAATATACTTTTAATACAAACATAAATAATTCTATTATTTAATGGAATATATGAATTTCCTTTAATGCTACAAACTCTAAAATTATTTAACAAATTATCATTATTAAGCATACATCTTAAAGCTGAAACCTATAAAAATAAAGTAAATTAAATCTTCCTGGATATTTGAGAGTATAAGTGTCAGGCCCCCGTCTTCCCTAAATCTTCCTGTCTACCCCAGATATAGACATATTGTCTGCCCCACCTTCATAGGTCTGAACTGTCGTGGTTCTTGCAAACACTACTGATTGCACAGCCAGAGGAAGATGAAAAGAGAATCTTTAAGCCAATGCATACAGAGATAAAATACTAGGATTTATGTATTTCTTGACCCTTACTTAACCTATTTCTTTATTTATATTAAGGGTAAATCTAATTCCTACTTGGTTTTCCATGTGCTGCTCTAGAATAGGCAATGCTGCATTAATCAAGTCCGAGTTTGGTGATTGGCCAAGAGCTCAGAAAGTCCTACCACAAGTATCTTTGATTCTGCCCAGCTATGACAAATTCTAAAATTCTGACATTATCATTTGAGACTGATGCTACTGGTTCTTCAGGAGATGATTTTATAGGTTGTCAAGGACACCTTGGTTAAACTGAGACAAGAACAAAGGCTTAAGTTCTAAACCTCTAAGTTAATCTTTCTCCCAAATCCTTATTTATTTATGGATAAAGCTCTAAGAAAGCTAACTAACCAATCAATTCATTGATGAAAGGACCACCAAAAATTGCCAAAATAAGTTATATTAACTTACCATACAATGGAGAGGTGGTCTGTTGAAACCCAGGTCTTAGGCACTGCTGAACTCTAAATGGAAAGAAACAAAAATCATACTTAAGAAAAATGCACTTGTTATTCTCCAAAAGGCTTGAAATTCTTATAGGCTAATATTTAGAAACATGTAACATTAGTTTCACTATTTTATGATGCACAGAAATTTTTAAACGATGCACTCTTGTAAAAGGTGATCCAAAAATATTAAGATATTGAATATTTCCTGCGTAAAATAATTCTTTGTCATTACTTAGTCAAGCTTAAATTACCCCTTAAAATTATTAAAACATCCACAGATTACTTACTGAAGTTTACTGTCTAACTCTTCATTACTCTAATAAGAGGTTAAGTTTATGATTCTTTAATAAATCATAGTGTATATATAAATTATAATAGATATTTCAGTAATTTTAGTTCTGACTAGACTATCATTTAATAAGTTCTAAGATGTTAATTCTAATCAGGATGTGCCTGAGAGATACCTAGGCCTGAGGAGATTTTTCAAAATAAATATGCCTAATCACAAAACTACCAAATCGGACTCTTGTAAGTGGGGTCCAGACTTATTAGGAAAAAAATCCCTAGATGATTAGCATATATACTACTGGTTAGAGACAGAAGGGCAAAAGCCTAGCAAAAAATATAACTATTTTCAGAAGGCTTCCTAACAGTGGCACAGCACCCTCCAAGAACTAGAGACTTCTATTTATACAGGGTAATGACCTCCCTGTGAACAGCATCTTACATACAATGGGGAAACATTAAGTAAATCTGATACTATTTTTCATGTCATCTCTCTCTCTACACTGTCAAAGACACATTGAGATGCCCTCACTAGAACTGTCGAAACAAAATGAAAATAGGAAACTAACAATGCTGTATGCAAGAAAACTTAGAGGCCTAACATGCCTCTTTGTTTTTGTTTTTTAAAAATTAATTAATTTATTTTTTTTGGCTGCATTGGGTCTTTGTTGCTGTGCGTGGGCTTTCTCTAGGTGCGGCAAGCAGGGGCTACTCTTCGTTGCAGTGCACGGGCTTCTCATTGCAGTGCCTTCTCTCGTTGCAGAGCACGGGCTCTAGGCGCGCGGGCTTCAGTAGTTGTAGCATGCAGGCTCAGTAGTTGTGGCTTGCGGGCTCTAGCGCGCAGGCTCAGTAGTTGTGGCGCATGGGCTTAGTTGCTCCACGGCATGTGGGATCTTCCTGGACCAGGGCTCAAACCCATGTCCCCTGCATTGGCAGGCGGATTCTTAACCACTGCGCCACCAGGGAAGCCCTATGCCTCTTTAATTAAAAAAAAAAAAAAAAAAGGTATTTGTAACAAAAAAAGGTATTTATAACTTCTAAGGAGTCATTGAGTCATTGTCACCATTGTACTCTGCAAATATCAATGTATATTTGGGTTGGAGGCTCTAAAGTTGAAGGAATCTACAGATTACTTAATGAACTTATAAGCATTAGCTATCCCATTTAGGAATTGCTGCTGGCAACTTACTTTAAAAAATTAAGACAACCAGAGTTCACTGTGGTTCTAAGGTTAGATGCTCAGTAAAGTAAGAACTCACAATAGACATCATTTACTATTAACAAGGACAAAAGCTAGTTTACTTTCATTCAGTCTAACGAATGCATCTGTGTTAGAACTGAAAAAAGGAAAGTCAACACACATTATAAAGGTAGTTGCGGGGCTTCCCTGGTGGCGCAGTGGTTGAGAGTCCGCCTGCCGATGCAGGGGACACGGGTTCGTGCCCCGGTCCGGGAAGATCCCACATGCCGCGGAGCGGCTGGGCCCATGAGCCATAGCCGCTGAGCCTGTGCGTCTGGAGCCTGCGCATCTGGAACCTGTGCTCTGCAACGGGAGAGGCCACAACAGTGAGAGGCCCCCGTACCGCAAAAAAAAATTAAATTAAATTAAATTTTAAAAAAAGGTAGTTGCTCATGACCTTTGTGATAAAAACTGTTAAATGTCCACCAAAATCTTCTTCCTTTTTCATAGTTAACTAGAATGCATGTCTCAGCCTCTCTTATTCTATGGTGTGACTAAGTTTTCTCTAATGGGATGTGAAAAAGAGAGATGTGTGCCATTTCCAGGCCTAACTGCTCTCCTTCATGCTCTTTCCCCCTTCCTGTGGATTGAAACAGTGATGATTAGAGCAACCTCGGAAGTAAAGCATTCAAGAAGGGGGAGCCTACTATCAGCCTGGGTCCCTTAGTGAGACTCCTCAAAAACCACCCGCCACGTAAACGCACACCTAGGGCAGGCATATGAGTGAAACATAAAATTCTATTGTGTTTAAGTGCCATTGCCTGCATGAGTGAATATTACAGTAGTTCAGCCTACCCTATGAATATAACTAAAGTCTCTAACTTAAACAATTTTTCTAGTCCCAATGGATTTAATGTCATCTAACTGTTCTTGAGATAATTATTAAAAAAATTACTTCTTAATAATTGTTTTTTTAAAGAGAACATACATATATAAAAGACTAGATTATTTGAGAGCTAAAAGCTAAGTAATTAAATATTTAAAAACTAAATAAAACTCAGATTATACAATAACCAGCTTTGAGAAAGTTCCATAATAAGTAAAATAATATTTTCATCAGAGATAAAGATATATAAGCTGCCTTGAACACAATACATTATCAAATGGATTAGAAAAGAGGGAAGGACACGTCCGCCCCCCCACCACACACCATTAAAAAGACCAAATTCTTTAAAAGCTGGAGGAAAGGGTATCAATACAGCATCAAGCTCCAGACCAAGTCTAGGAAATAAGTTATATCCAATTTTATATGACTAAAACATCTATTTTTATACTAAGGAATTCATATTTAGAGTTTTGAGAACTTCTAGCACATACCTACCCAAAATATTCAGCATCAAAAAACAAGATTCCTACCGATGATGAGGTTTGAGAGATTTAGTAAATTAGTACTAATTACTTCCAAAGCTATTATGGCTATATCACAACTCCTTCAGTTATAAGAAAATGGTGGATAAGAGCAGAATAGCTTAATAATTTTTGTTCTATGTATGGCAAGCATTCAGTAATACCTATTTACTGAATGAACAGCAGTAGGTAAACTGAGCAAAGGAGTATCTATTAAGAGAACAACTATGAAACAAAGAACTATCATCTAAAAAGCAAAAGGAATGCTATAAATTTTCTTTTTAGAAATTAAGTTATATTTGGAGATGACGTGTATACTGAGTTTAAAAGTTAAGCTCTTAACTAAAGACTTAAAGGTTAAACATACAAAAATAAGTCCTAAAAGGAAACCTGAACTTATTTTACAGAAGCTGTGTATCCCAGTTAAAGACCAAATACTTGATGTCCTAGCAGGGAAGAATAATTAGCAAATTAATTAATCAGAGCTCTATCTATACTATCAAAGCTAATTTTTAAATTTTGAAATCAGTAAACCTTCATTCAAGTTTAAAATTCAAGAGTATGTGAAATGTTTGCTCTTCCATTACCACTGTATACAGCATACCACTGAGATACACCCGGGGCCCCTGGACTTCAGTCCATACTTTTTTATACTTAAAACTCTAATCAATGGATATGCACTTATTTTAAACAAGAAACAATCATCTTCATAAATAAGAGTCATTTGCACGAAGTTTCTAAGATCCTTTTCACCTTCCATGGATGTAAGTATCCATGCCTCTGTCTTCCCCAAATATTCATATTCATTGTTTCATGTTCTGTCTCTCTCACATACACATACACATGCACACTTGCACACACACAGTATACCAGACCAACTCAGGAATCATTTCTAACCGATTACATATCACTTCTCCTTTCATGCTCCACTGTGTCCATCATGTTACTACTTTAGTAGAATCTTTAAAAAGATTACCACAACAGATAAGGCACTGGTATGATGGCTTAATTTTGGTAGAAAAGTCAGTCCTGAACGAACTTGGTAATCCCGGAATCCTCCAGCTACAGACAGTGTGGTTAAATTTATGTGTCTAGCATTCAGAATCCAATAGTTGTTTACAGTCATATAAAAATCTGGTGGGAAATAAAAAAGACATACATTAAAAATCAGTAACCATGCTCTTCAACAATAACCCATCTATAATACTAATATTAAACTGAATTTCTGTTTAAGCCATCTGAATTGTCTATAAGCAATGCCATCCACATTTCTCTATTTTGGGTAAAGTCAGTATCTTTACACATACTCTACTTTCCCCATCAGAGTACAAATACTAAGAGTTAGTACAGGTATCAATAAAGAAAAAAGATAACCCAATTTTATTAGCTTTGACAAGTCCATAGCAAACAGGTCTCTACATTCCACAAGGATGCTGCTTGTTTATGAGCCACATAGTATAGAAAGGAACCCCCGAAATTCTTCCAAAGATATAAGTTTACTATGCTAAGGAGTTATATCAATAGATCTCCCTAATCATGGCTGTGTCCCTGCTTATAGGGCTTAGCAACTCTCTACTGCAGCCACTGTAGTACTGGTGACCACACAAAGTACTATTTAAGTTCTTAGAATACAATCTATCAGGACAATGACAGTCACATTAGTCTTGGGACTCTCCGCTGCAGAAAATCTGATGCTTAAGAAGATTCTATCCATTTAGTGTAACAAGTGGTGCAGACAATTTTTCCACTTTATCTATGGAAGATGAGAAAAATTTAGTGTTGAAGATCTGAGGCCAGGGCAGGGGAGTTCTCATTTCCTATTCTGATTATCAAAACTTATTGCATTTTTTATCCTGGCATTTGATCCCATTGATGGCTTTTAACATTTTGGAACAGCAAACTCTTCTCATTAAAGATTTCAGTAGTATTCACTTAGATTGAGACAAAGCAGACCCATTCCTAATAACTCCAGGGCTTGGGATAAGAGTTCCAATGAGGTATACATGCCATATGTCTAAATACTTAAAAGTCAAACTTCCAGCTAACAAACTTAAATCAAATGTATTTTCTCTGCCTACCTTGACAAATATATCATTGAAATAACCTGGAAGGCCAGGTTCAAATTAAGAATTCTACGACACCTCCGAGTTGGACACCAGATTATGGCAGCATAGGGAGAGCATATCTCTGGCCACACATTGCTGTGGAGATCTGCAGCAAAGGGGGAACAGATCACTGTGCTCTCTTCTTCTTCCCACCCACATTCCATCCTGCATTAGGAAGACCTCCTGTGAACATCAAAATTCTGTCTGTACCTCATGCAGAGCCACCCCTTGGCCATAACTCAAGCTCAGGATTCTACATACCTGTCCTCAGGATAGATCCAAGTAAGAGGCTAAGGGAGTGGGCTTCAGGCATATGGGCAAGAAAAGTCTGAAGGACTGGCTACCTGGATCATAGTCCAGAAGTAAAGGTACAGCCTGTAAGTGGGGAGGCTGCTTGGCCTGTACACTCCACACCCTGTGGGGAATGGCAACACGAGAGCAGGGCCCTCTGAAGTACAGAGCTCAGTGCAAGGCTTCCTTTCCCCTATTTAAGGACAGTATTTCCACCAAGTATAAATACGGAATCTACTTCTGGAGGTCACATGGGTCTCCTAAAAACTTAAAATCCACCCTTGAACTTTTGTTTTTTCATTCTAATTATGGCTTAATGCAATAAAAAATAAATACAGAATAAAAGGCATAAGAGCTTGCTAATTACTGGAGAGGCCCCCTGACCCTAAGAAGCACTTTCAACCTAAGCCATTTAGAGACAGACCATCAGTATCCTTCAAAAACAGTAAACCTGACTCTCTTGACAGTTCTTTCCTCAAAGAGATTTTTAAAATGCATCTTGAGTAATTATAATTTAGCCTGCATGGCTCATCTACATATACCACATAAAATGCAGTAAGGGAAAGAATTCTCAATTGTGGTGACAAGTATTATGGCTTGTCTATACCTTTAATTTTTTCCTAAACCTATTATAAATAATAATTTATAATTATTAGAATCAGTAAAGCATATTTAACCAACTTCAATAATAAAACTAAAGATTTTTATTAGAAGAGTTCTACAGGCAAAGTTTTAAATGTACTAAGGAAAAAAAATCAAACTTCTCTTTAAGTGCTACTGCACCAGATATTCCAGCAAGTAAGTTACTCCTTGGCAATGTTATGTTAAGATGGGTGCTCTGGAAAACTACTTTGGTTTGGAGTCACTAGGGTATATGTCTCACTTATCTGTAAACAAAATTTTCACCACAATTAAGATAATGCAAATTTTTATAGGGTAAGAAGTTGTATAAATTTACTGATTAGGAAAAATAATGATTTCTTTCTAAAGATTTTCTTCTACACATACAGCATGCCAAAAAGCAGTGAATACTTGACTTTCTTTAATAAAAAGTTGAGATAGTAGGCATTTAATTCTTATTCTGTGACATTATCACTAATTAGATGACAACAATCATAAACACCTACTGTTCACTCAAAATTCCCTGCAACATTACAGTATTATCCATAATTTTATTTCCTCTGTTATCGTAATGTAACTCAATTCAGAGGCGGCATACGTAAATGTTAAAAGCACAGGCCCAGAAACAAGCTTGCTGGAGTCAAATACCAGCTCCACTATTTTCTTGCCATGTGACTTTGGGCAAGAATTTTATCTTGGCCTCTTTTTTCTGTCCATGGACATGGCAATAACAATGGTACCTACCTCAAAGAACTGCCATAAGGATCAAATGATACAATAAGCATGTAAAGTTCTTACCACAATATCCAAAATATAATAAGAGCTCTATAAAGATTAGCAATCCTACCTTACCTCATCATATAAAGTATTAGCAGACCTATTTATTAAAAAAAAAAACAAGGCATTTCTACTATTTTACTTAAATATAAGATTATTTTGAATGAAGTACCCAGAGGAGTTAACAAAAAAAGGAAGTATAAACACACTTTAAAAGACCAAGAGTCATCCTCAAGAATAACTAAAATGAAGCTCAAGTGCCTAGGGGTTATAAGACACATGTTTTCCATGTTAAGATGCAAAAGGCAGAGAAAATTAACAGCAGTTTCAGTTATGAGCCTAAGTTGAAAGTCACAAAAAGAGATGCTCAGAATTGGAGGTGCTGATTTAAACCTAAGCTGCTTCACACATGGATAAACCTGTAGTATACTCTAAAGGGAGTAGTAGCTGCAAGGATCTGTTTAATCCTAAACAACAATGGGGAGGTCAGTTAGTGTTTATGTAACAGTACTCACCTGTAATGAAACGATCTAATGGCATCACAGGAGCAACATGAGGTGTTGCTTGTGTAATAAGAAGATTGATCAGATCCTGCTTAAAATTTTTCAACGTAAGCAATGCTCTTGCAACAAGGCCACCCATAGAATGACCAATTATCGCCACACTTTTTGGAGCAAATTCTTGACCCTATTTAAAAAATCACCAAGGCATGATTAAGGATTAATACCATAATAAATATACTAAATACTTCTCTCTACATATCAGCAATTTCACAGAAAAAAGAAAATTAAACTATTTATATAACCTCCCATAATAAGATACAGAAATACATTTTCATATATTTGTAATTAGTGTATACATATTTTGTGTTTTGCAAACATTTTTAACAGCTAGGCTTTGGTTTTCTCAACCAAAATCAGAACACTTGGTCTAGCAAATCATGTTTTTACCATTTGTTATATTGTATGTAAGAGGTGTAATTATATTTGGTGTATACCAGAATATTAGATTTCATAGGATATATAAAGTCAAATCATTTATTTGAAACTGGAAATAGCACAAAAAAGCCAGAACAGTTACAACTGCCACAGCAATATACTACCTCATCATATTGATATGTCCTATCTCATCAAATTATTTCTCTATTGTGTGCCTGGGTTTAAAGGGAAGCCAGCATTCCACAACATCTATTCACTGACAATTACATATTTTATTTTTTAAATAAGTTTGTTTTTTTTTTTAACATCTTTATTGGGGTATAATTGCTTTACAATGGTGTGTTAGTTTCTGCTTTATAACAAAGTGAATCAGTTATACATATACATATGTTCCCATATCTCTCCCCTCTTGCGTCTCCCTCCCTCCCACCCTCCCTATCCCACCCCTCCAGGCGGTCACAAAGCACTGAGCTGATATCCCTGTGCTATGCGGCTGCTTCCCACTAGCTATCTACCTTACGTTTGGTAGTGTATATATATCCATGCCTCTCTCTCGCTTTGTCACAGCTCACCCTTCCCCCTCCCCATATCCTCAAGTCCGTTCTCCAGTAGGTCTATGTCTTTATTCCTGTCTTACCCCTAGGTTCTTCATGACATTTTTTTTCTCTTAGATTCCATATATATGTGTTAGCATATGGTATTTGTTTTTCTCTCTCTGACTTACTTCACTCTGTATGACAGACTCTAGGTCTATCCATCTCATTACAAATAGCTCAATTTCGTTTCTTTTTATGGCTGAGTAATATTCCATTGTATATATGTGCCACATCTTCTTTATCCATTCATCCAATGATGGGCACTTAGCTTGTTTCCACCTCTGGGCTATTGTAAATAGAGCTGCAATGAACATTTTGGTACATGACTCTTTTTGAATTATGGTTTTCTCAGGGTATATGCCCAGTAGAGGGATTGCTGGGTCATATGGTAGTTCTATTTGTAGTTTTTTAAGGAACATCCATACTGTTCTCCATAGTGGCTGTACCAATTCACATTCCCACCAGCAGTGCAAGAGGGTTCCCTTTTCTCCACACCCTCTCCAGCATTTACTGTTTCTAGATTTTTTGATGATGGCCATTCTGACCGGTGTGAGATGATACCTCATTGTAGTTTTGATTTGCATTTCTCTAATGATTAGTGATGCTGAGATCATTTCATGTGTTTGTTGTCCATCTGTATGCCTTCTTTGGGGAAATGTCTATTTAGATCTTCTGCCCATTTTTGGATTGGGTTGTTTGTTTTTTTGATATTGAGCTGCATGAGCTGCTTGTATATTTTGGAGATTAATCCTTTGTCAGTTGCCTCGTTTACAAATATCGTCTCCCATTCTGAGGGTTGCCTTTTTGTCTTGTTTATGGTTTCTTTTGCTGTGCAAAAGCTTTTAAGTTTCATTAAGTCCCACTTGTTCATTTTTTAAATTTCCATTTCTCTAGAAGGTGGGTCAAAAAGGATCTTGCTGTGATTTATGTCAAAGAGTGTTCTTCCTATGTTTTCCTCTAAGAGTTTTATAGTGTCTGGCCTCATATTTAGGTCTTATCTGCTTTATTGCAGCAGTCTGGAACCGAACCCGCAATATCTCTGAGGTATACCTGTATTTCTCCTCCATTTGCTCTTTAGCTGCATTTGCTTTTTTGTTGTTGTTACTCTAAAAATTACATTATACAGCCTTAACTTATCTACCAGAATTAATATTATACTTCTTACGGCAGTGGAATAATTCTATTTACTCCTCTTCCCATCCTTTTCACCATTAGTATATATTTTCCTTCTAAATAAATTATAAACCTCATAAGGAATTCATTACTGAAAATAAACTTTTTAACCTTTTAATTATGAACCAATTAGAGAAAAGTTGGAAAAATAGCACAGAGAGTTCCCATATACCTCTCACCCAGTTTTCCGCAATGTTAACAGTTAATATAACCCTACTACAATGATCAAAAACAAGAAATTAACATTGGTGCAGCAACAGAATTGACTGCAGACCTAATCTAAGTTTTACCCATTTTCTCACTAATGTACTTTTTCTATTTCAGGGTTCCATCCAGCATCCCACCTTGCATTTATTGTTATTTCTCCTTAGTCTCCTCTACTCTGTGACAGTTCTTCAGTCTTTCCTCATTTTTTATGACCTTGATGCTTCTGAAGAGTACTGGTTAGTTATTTTATAGCATGTCTCTCGATTTCGGTTTGTCTGAAGTTCTCCCATGATTAGAATGAGGTTATGCATTTTTGACAATAATGCCACAGAAACTATGGTGCAGCGTGTCAGGAGATTCATGATATCAATATGTCTTATTACTGGTAATGTTAATCTTGGTTAAGATGATGTCTACCAGGTTTCTTATTGTGAAGTTCTTTCCCTTTGTAGGTAATAAATATTTTAGAAAAGATACTGTGAAACCATGTGAATATCCTTTTCCTCCTCAAACCTTCACCTACTGATTTTAGCACCCATGATGAATCTTGTCTGTAGCAATTATTACTGTGCCGTTCACCTAACGGGAATTTTTTATTTCCCTCTTTCCTTCTACTAATCACAAAACTGCCAGTTTTTGTTACTCTGACAATGTCTTTATTTTGTCCTCATTTTTGCTAGATATACAGTTTTAAGTTGAGAGTCCCCTCCCACCCCATCATCCTCCAAAAACCTTTAAGATGCTGTTCTATTGTTTTGGGCTTTCATTATTTCTGATGGAGACCAGCAATAATTTTTATTGTTTTACCTGTAGGTAAAGAGCCTTTTTTTCTCTGGCTGCTTTTAAGATTTTCTCTTTACTTTGGTTTTGAACAATTTGACTAGGATAAACTTGGGTGTGATTCTGTGTTTATCCTGCTTGACATTCATTGACCTTCTTGATCTGTCGGTTGAAAATTTTAATCAGAATTGTAAATTTGGGGCCTTTAGTTCTTTGAATTTTATCTTTCTTTTTTAATATATTTATTTATTTATTTTTGGCTGTGTTGGGTCTTCGTTTCTGTGCGAGGGCTTTCTCTAGTTGCGGCAAGCGGGGGCCACTCTTCATTGCGGTGCGCGGGCCTCTCACTGTCGCGGCCTCTCTTGCTGTGGAGCACAGGCTCCAGACGCACAGGCTCAGTAGTTGTGGCTCACGGGCCTAGTTGCTCCGCGGCACGTGGGATCTTCCTAGACCAGGGCTCGAACCCGTGTCCCCTGCATTGGCAGGCAGACTCTCAACCACTGCGCCACCAGGGACGCCCAAGTTCTTTGAATATTTTTTCCTCTTATATTTCTCTCTCTTCTTCTGGGGTTCCAGTTATGTATGTGTTAGCCTACTTAGTATTGTCCCACAGATTCCTGAGGCTCTGTCCTTTCCATCCTTTTATCCTCTGTGCTTCATATTTTGGATAGTTTTTAACTGTCCTGTCTTCAAACTCAATGATCTCTTGTTCTGCGGTGTTCAACCTGCTTAAAGCCTATGTACTAAATTTTTCATTTCTGTTTTATTGTTTCAGTTCTCAATTTTTCCTTTTTATTCGTTATTTATTTATTTATGGCTGCATTGGGTCTTCGTTGCTGCACGCAGGCCTTTTCTAGTTGTGGCAAGCAGAGCTACTCTTCGTTGCGGTGTGTGGGCTTCTCATTGTGGAGCATGGGCTCTAGGGGCACGGGCTTCAGCGGTAGTGGCACACGGGCTTAGTTGCTCCGTGGCATGTGGGATCTTCTCTGACCAGGGCTTGAACCCATGTCCCCTGCATTGGCAGGCAGACTCCAAACGACTGCGCCACCACGGAAGTCTCTGTCCTTTTTCTTTTTTAATAGTTTCCATGTCTCTACTGAGCTCCCTCATCTGTTCCCTTGTTGTTTGCATCTTTTATTCTAAATCCTTAACTCTGATGTTTTTGAGGCTTATATGGAAGCATTGTTAAGGTGGATCCTACAGTAGCTCTTACTTTAGGGCTAGAGTAGCTCTATTCCTAAATCGTGTCCTTTCTTGGGTCTCAAATGAATGCCCAATGTTCAGATAAGTCTTTCTAACTAGCTGGTCAGAACTCCTGGGCACCAAGTGGCCTCTCAAATCTCAATTCAACCCACAATTCCCCACGAGCTGTTTTTGCCAGGACTTGCACAATGGTATACCAAGGGAGGAAATGACTTATCCTAGTAGGTAGTAGAATTATCCCTGACGCTGTTTAGAATTGCTGGCACAGATGAATTTGAGTCTGTTGTACTGCTCTTTTAAATTTCTCTAGGGACACATATTCCCCCTTATTCCTTGCACCTGAAGCAGACATACCCCACCACTTCCTCCTTGGTATGCTACTGCCTTGCAGCCTCTTGCCCTGTGCATACGTAGCACAGCACTCAAAGACTGAAGGATTCAAATTTCTAGAGCTCCCGTCTCTGCCTAGTTCTCTTCTTTCTCCTACCTGACCACAAATCTAGCCATTTCAGTAGTCCCAAATTCCAATCTCTGCCTTCTTCAGCTTAGTGATATCAATTTGCTGTTCTTGACCTCTAAAAATTTACCCCATGGTCTGGAAAATGCTTCCAGGCAGAAAGCCGGGCACTCACGGAGCTCACCTCACATGTTTCCCCTCTTTCAGTGGTCACAGTCCTTTACCACTTGGTTGTCCAACACCTGAAAACATGTGCTTCAGATACCTTGGCTAGTTTTATAGTTGTTTACATATGGAAGTAGTCTACTCTAGTACCAGTTATTTAGCCAAAACTAGAAGCAGAAATCCATACTAATGGCTTTAGGAAATGCACTACACTCCTAATTCATACATAAAGTAAAAAAAAAAATTTTTTCCAAACTTCACAAGAAAGATTTCTTGTAAATTGAATTTGAACTTCAAAACCCACCACTGAGTTCAAAACGACAGAGTCCCACACACAAATACCTCTGTGCCACCTTTGCTTCAACTTCCATACAAACAAATAAATAATTTAAAATATGCTGAGTCCCTTTAGCCAAAAAAAAAAAAAAAAAAAAAAAAACCCAATAGGTTGATCACTATTTATTTGTATGATTATCTCGTACCTTATAGAGCTTGAGAATTGTTTTAATGCATTCATGCACAAACTTGGTCTGCTTCTGAAGACTTCCACCATATAGTGCCACCAGTTCTTCATTGAAATTCACACTAAAGAAGTCAAAGTGGTACTTGAAGTCAATGTCTTCAGCTTTTCTAAGTGCAATAGAGCCAATAGAACGAACTGCAGAGGAAAAAGGTGAAGTGCACATTAAACAAAAATTTTTAAAGTTTCATCTATTCTTGCTTCAAAGTCTCTTAACAAATAACTTTATCCCAGATTCTGAATACAACCTATTTCAGGGTGACATCCTTAACAATAGCAATTTAGAAAAACAAACCAACTTAGCAATTGTGTGTCTTGTCCTGTAAATTTTTTTAAGTTAAGTATAACGTGAATGGTTCATTCATTCTCTACCTGCTTCCCCTTCAGTAGGGGCAACAATAGCTAAAAGGGAAGGAAGGATTCCTTGAAGAATAAGAAATAGGAATTTTGTCACACTTCAGGATTTTAAGAACGAGAAAATTCCTACAAGAAACGTCTGCTCATTACAGCTCATCACAGTGGTGTAAATACTCATGCATAATTTGTCTCTTTTTCTTACACATGACATCCAATCATTAGTAAATCTTGTCATGCTCTACCTTCTAAATATATCCCCAATCAAGGCTTCTCACCATTTCCACCACCACCTTCCTAATCCAAGCACCATCATCTCCTGCCTGAACTACTCTAACAGTTTCCTAAATGGTCTCTCTGTTTCCACTGTTTTAGGTTTTGATAAAGTAGTCTACATATATATAAAACTTTTTTTTAAGTTGCTGGTCTCTTAATTTCAAATGCAATTCCCATTTCCTGCATTTGTACTCTCTAGGTTTTGGGTTTAGCAAACAAAATAGCTGTTTGGCATTCCTTTTTTTTTAACATATATAACTCATGTACTATACAACTCATTGTGTAAAGTGTACAATTCAATGATATTTTGTATAGTCAACCATTTCTGCAATCTAACTTTAGACATTTTTTAATCACCCCAGAAAGAAAACCCTGTACTCATTAACAGTTACTCCTCATTCCTCTTCTCCTTCTAATTCCTAGAAAGCACTAATATACATATGCATGCATATATATATATATAGGTAGATAGATAGATGTATATAGAACTGAATCACTTTGCTGTGCAACTGAAACTAACACAACATTGTAAATCAAATATACTTCAATTTAAAAAAAATCTAAGATGATAATAAAAACAGTAAAAGTTATTTTTACTAGATAAAAAAACAAAAACCCAATGTTAAGTGGAAGAAGCCAGACACAGAACAATGCGTACTGAGTGATTATATTTATAGTGCGACGTTTAAAAATAGCCCCAAACAAGTAGACTATATTAGAGATGCATACTTAGATGCTAAAACTATAAAGAAAGTCAAGAAAATGACTACCTTAAAGTTAGGAAAGGAGGGAGTTTTAATCAGGAAGGGGCACACAGGAGGCTTCCAGGGTGCTGGCAACCTTCTACTTCTTGACTTGGGTTTTGGTTCCATGGGTACTCACTTTATAATCATTTTTAACCTAATAGCCATATTTTATGCATTTCTCTGTATATGTGTTATATTTCAAACACAAAGATTAAATTAAAAAAATCAGAGTATATCATTTCCTACCCAAACCCTCCAATAGTTTCTCATCACACTTAGATCAAAATTCGAAGTCTCTTCCACAGCTTTTATGACATAGCCTATGGCTACTTTTCCATCCTCATCTCTTTTCATTTTCTCTAGTCTCAGTGGCCTTGAACGCACCAAGCACGTTCCTGCCTCCGGATCTTCCCCAAATAGTCACATACCTCAGTCCCTTGCTACATTCAAGCCTCCGCTCAAAATGTCATCTCCTCATACTGGCCTTCCCTGGCCACTTCATCTAAACTAGCCACCTCCTGACCCTGTTTATCCTTTATCCCTTACTCTGGTTTATTTTTCTTTCTAACTTTTAATATTACTGGCATACTAATATCTAGAATATCTAGAATACTACCTGGCTCATGGTAGGTACCCCATAAATATTTGCTAGCTAGCTAGATAAACATGTAAGTAATTATACTAAATGTTGAAATAATTCTATTCTCATTATACAAAAGAATACACCATTTAATAACAACAAAAAAAAGAGCAGGTTTTAGCTGAAATTACTTCTAGATTGCCTGACTGTTAGGCCAAAAATAACTGCTATATTTCAATTTGGAATCTGTACATATAACTTCCCTACCCCCACCTTTCTGTGTTTCCCTCAGTATTTCTAGACCTAATTTAAATAGCTCCAAAACAAAGAAACCAGTCTCCTCTCTTGTTCAGCAATAACATAAACCACTGACTTACTTCTCTAATCAATGCTTTAGGTTCTGTTTTCTGTACCCTCCACTTCTAACATAAACCTCTTTCTTCTGCTGATTCCTGAATCCCTATGTCATCTATTTATCATTCCGCTCCATCTTATCTTCTCCTACTTACTCTTTGCAAAGTGGCTTGCAGCTATTCTTTTTTGTGTACTTCTCACATGTGCTTCTCTCAGACAAAATGTCATATATTTGTGTCTCCCAGTATACCTAGCGTTAATACCTAACACAGAGTACATGTCTGATAAATTCTTCAATTGAATTTCACAGCTTTCAAAATTTACTTTTGAGACTTACCTTGCTTATAACTTCCAGCATTACCGGGAAGAAAGAGAACAGGAATACCCGTTAAAGGGAGAACTTTGTGTTCTTCAGCATAGGATCCTTCTCCATAAAGATATAATTCATATGCAGGATAGCGTTTTGCCAGTTTCTTTGGAAGTTCTATCTTCTATAGAAAAAAAAAGCAACTTCACTTTAATCAGTTTTACTAATACAATTCAGTCTCACCGTACCCAATTCTGAATTTGAAATAGTACAATATAAAAATATTACTGATGATAAAACTACACTTAATGCACAAGTTCTACTTTTAGTTTACACATATGAAGACTCAGTCTTGAGTTATGTGAGCTTTAAACCATGTAGTCTTCAAGAAAGCATAAAATGGGACTACTTGAAATTCTAATAAATACAAATTACTCAGAATAGCTACTGGCAAGAGAAAAACACTGGTTTATGTCAGCAAGTTCCATGTTAACATAACTGAAAATGCATTTAATTTAGTATCAGTTATCAATTATACTTAGAAATGATAAAAGCTTTCCATTATCAAATGAATTCTTTTTTGCTATTTTAAACTGTTTTGTAATGTCTCTCTCCTTTCACTCAGGCCTAACTATACTCCAAGCTGTTACATCATTCAAAGGAAAGTAAGTTTGTTTTATAATGCAGCTTTCTGACCTCTCAACTTAATATGCTTGACCTACAATGTGCTTAACAAATTAATCTGAACCTTACAGCCATGTCTTGGTTGAGACATGTACACTCTTCTCACCATGAACATTCCAGTGAATTAGCATCTGTTTCAGTTTTCATGGACTTGGTGCATGGTTTATCAGCAAGCCTAAAACTACTCTGCAATTCATATTACTGTATACCAAATGAGGCAGTAATTCACATAACATTTCTTTCAGCAAAATACAAACGAAGTCTTAATGTCATCCCCAAAAGGTAGGCATCTATAAAAGTGGGAGTAAAGTATAAGTTCTTCTTCTCCTTTTTTCCCCCGAAGGGATGGAGACTGTTAAAAATGAAACCAGTTACATTGAAGAGTAGATTTTATTTAAGTACACATCAATAGATTTAATGATCTAGCAGTAATGTACACGTGCTTGGTAAAAATTTTAACTACTGAATGAATTTTGAAAATTGTAAATGGATAATGACTACTGAAAAAAATCACTGTTCTAGAAAAAGCATAATTCTGATCATTCATGCAAATTCCTGAATATTCCTTTGAGGATAGTACCATAAACAATCTGTGCCACTAACACCATGAAAACATCTTTAGAGATTGTGACCTTATTGTTTAAGATACTAGCAACTTTATCTCCTCAAATATTCAAAATACAGAGATACCAACCCCACTATTTGCTTTATATGTGTACATGGACTTAGATTCAAATTAGTCCCAATATTAATTATGCATAGTAAATAATCAAAAAATAGATGTAATATTTTGTTTCTTTAGGTACAAATTAAGCAAAAAGAAAAGATGAGAGAAAAAGGGAACAGTTATCTTAACTCCTCTCAATTTAGTACACCATTTGATATAGCAGTACATGCGTATTAGATCACTATTCTTTTTAGGACAGTAACTAAAAAAGTTTTGAACTACTTGAAAATTAACTCAGAAGAACAGGAACTATCAAATATATAGAAAAAGAAATATTTAATTCTCTGGAGACAGAAAAGCAAAAGAATATTACTTGATATATTTCATAACCTACTATTATAAAGGCAATTTCATAGTGAGACACTGTACATTTAAAAATATGAAGGCATCAGACGGCGGGGAAGATGGCGGAAGAGTAAGACACGGAGATCACCTTCATCCCCACAGATACATCAGAAATACATCTACACGTGGAACAACTCCTACAGAACACCTACTGAACACTGGCAGAAAACCTCAGACCTCCCAAAAGGCAAGAAACTCCCCACGTACCTGGGTAGGGCAAAAGAAAAAAGAATAAACAGAGACAAAAGAAGAGGGGTGGGACCTGCACCAGTGGGAGGGAGTTGTGAAGGAGGAAAGGTTTCCACACACTAGGAAGCCCCTTCGAGGGCGGAGACTGCGGGTGGCAGAGGGGGGAAGAAGCTTTGGTGCCGCGGAAGAGAGCACAGCAACAGGGGTGCGGAGGGCAAAGCGGAGAGATTCCCGCACAAAGGATCCGTGCCGACCAGCACTCACCAGCCTGAGAGGCTTGTCTGCTCACCCGCCAGGGTGGGCAGGGCTGGGAGCTGAGGCTCGGGCTTTGGTCTGAGCGCAGGGAGAGGACTGGCGGCGTGAACACAGCCTGAAGGGGTTAGTGCACCACGGCTAGCCGGGAGGGAGTCCGGGAAAAAGTCTGTACCTGCAGAAGAGGCAAGAGACTTTTTCTTCCCTCTGTTTCCTGGTGCGCAAGGAGAGGGGATTAAGAGTGCTGCTTAAAGGAGCTCCAGAGACGGGCGCGAGCCGCGGCTAACAGCGCGGACCCCAGAGACGGGCATGAGACGCTAAGGCTGCTGCTGCCACCACCAAGAAGCCTGTGTGCGAGCACAGGTCACTATCCACACCTCCCTTCTGGGGAGCATGTGCAGCCCGCCACTGCCAGGGTCCCTCCAGGGACAACTTCCCCAGGAGAACGCACGGCGCGCCTCAGGCTGGTGCAATGTCAGGGCGGCCTCTGCCGCCGCAGGCTCGCCCCACATCCGTACCCCTCCCTGCCCCCGGCCTGAGTGAGCCAGAGCCCCCGAATCAGCGGCTCCTTTAACCCCATCCTGTCTGAGTGAAGAACAGACGCTCTCTGGCGACCTACACGCAGAGGCGAGGCCAAATCCAAAGCTGAGCCCCGGGAACTGTGCGAACAAAAAAGAGAAAGGGAAATCTCTCCCAGCAGCCTCAGGAGCAGCGGATTAAAGCTCCACAATCAACTTGATGTACCTGCATCTGTGGAATACATGAATAGACAACGAATCATCCCAAATTGAGAAGGTGGACTTTGAGAGCAAGATTTATGATTTTTTCCCCTTTTCCTCTTTTTGTGAGTGTGTATGTGTATGCTTCTGGGTGAGATTCTGCCTGTATAGCTTTGCGTTCACCATTTGTCCTAGGGTTCTATCCGTCCGTTCTTTTCAGTTTTTTTTTTTTTTTACTTCTTAAAAAATTTTTTTTCTAAATAATTATTTTTTATTTTAATCACTTTATTTTCTTTTATCTTACTTTATTTTATCTTCTTCCTTCCTCCCTTCCTCCCTTCCACTCTTTCTACTTCTTCTCCCTTTTATTCTGAGCCCTGTGCATGAAAGGATACTGGTGCTGCAGCCAGGAGTCAGTGCTGTGCCTCTGAGGTGGGAGAGCCAACTTCACGACACTGGTCCACAAGAGACCTCCCAGCTCCATGTAATATCAAACGGCAAAAGTCTCCCAAGGATCTCCATCTCAACACCAACACCCAGCTTCACTCAACGACCAGCAAGCTACAGTGCTGGATACCCTATGCCAAAAAACTAGCAAGACAGGAACACAACCCCACCCATTAGCAAAGAGGCTGCCTAAAATCATAATAAGTCCACAGACACCCCCAAACACACCACCAGACGTGGACCTGCCCACCTGAAAGACAAGATCCAGCCTCATCCACCAGAACACAGGCACTAGTACCCTCCACCAGGAAGCCTACACAACCCACTGAACCAACTTTAGCTACTGGGGACAGACACCAAAAACAACGGGAACTACGAACCTGCAGCGTGCAAAAGGAGACCCCAAACACAGTAAGATAAGCAAAATGAGAAGACAGGAAAACACACAGCAGATGAAGGAGCAAGATAAAAACCAACCAGACCTAACAAATGAAGAGGAAATAGGCAGTGTGCCTGAAAAAAAAATCAGAATAATGATAGTAAAGATGATCCAAAATCTTGGAAGTAGAATAGAGAAAATGCAAGAAACATTTAACAAGGACCTAGAAGAACTAAAGATGAAACAAGCAGCAATGAACAACACAATAAATGAAATGAAAAATACTCTAGATGGGATCAACAGCAGAATAACTGAGGCAGAAGAATGGATAAGTGACCTGGAAGATAAAATAGTGGAAATAACTAATGCAGAGCAGAATAAAGAAAAAAGAACGAAAAGAACTGAGGACAGTCTCAGAGACCTCTGCGACAACATTAAATGCACCAACATTCGAATCATAGGGGTTTGAGAACAGGAAGAGAAAAAGAAAGGGACTGAGAAAATATTTTAAGAGATTATAGTTGAAAACTTCCCTAATATGGGAAAGGAAATAGTTAATCAAGTCCAGGAAGCACAGAGAGTCCCATTCAGCGTAAATCCAAGAAGAAACACGCCAAGACACATATTAATCAAACTGTCAAAAATTAAATACAAAGAAAACATATTAAAAGCAGCAAGGGGAAAACAACAAATAACACACAAGGGAATCCCCGTAAGGTTAACAGCTGATCTTTCAGCAGAAACTGTGCAAGCCAGAAGGGACTGGCAGGACATATTTAAAGTGATGAAGGAGAAAAACCTACAACCAAGATTACTCTACCCAGCAAGGATCTCATTCAGATTTGATGGAGAAATTAAAACCTTTACAGACAAGCAAAAGCTGAGAGAGTTCAACACCACCAAACTAGCTTTACAACAAATGCTAAAGGACCTTCTCTAGGCAAGAAGCACAAGAGAAGGAAAAGACATACAATAACAAACAAAACAATTAAGAAAATGGGAATTGGAACATATATATCGATAATTACCTTAAATGTAAATGGATTAAATGCTCCCACCAAAAGACACAAACTGGCTGAATGGATACAAAAACAAGACCCATATATATGCTGTCTGCAAGACACCCACTTCAGACCTAGAGACACATACAGACTGAAAGTGAGGGAATGGAAAAAGATACTCCATGCAAATGGAAACCAAAAGAGAGCTGGAGTAGCAATTCTCATATCAGACAAAATAGACTTTAAAATAAAGACTATTAGAAGAGACAAAGAAGGACACACATAATGATCAACGGATCGATCCAAGAAGAAGATATAACAATTGTAAATATTTATGCACCCAACATAGGAGCACCTCAATACATAAGGCAAATACTAACAGCCATAAAAGGGGAAATCAACAGTACACATTCATAGTAGGGGACTTTAACACCCCACTTT